CCTTGCCGCGTGCGGTGCGTCGACACCCGCGCTTCACCCAAGGTGATCGTTTCAGTCGCAAATTGGCGAAGCATTGACGAAACAAAATGGTCGACGTTTTCTTGGCGAAAGCCCTGGCTGATAAAGATTGGCTCACGCACTACCGGCAGTCCCTTACGTTTACACCAAAAACTACTATGTTTATGAATACATGACTCTTCGGATGAAGTTGAGGAAATCAGTGTCGCTCGCAGGTTGTGCTCAACTGGAGCCGAACAGGATGAGTGATTAGGGCTAAAACATTGTCGGAGGAAGCTTACTAAAACACATGTCAGGGCGCGTAACGATTTCAAAAATGTCCAGCGTGAACACCATCACGGTCCGGTTCCAATATCAGAGAGTTCATGGTTCGGGACCTCGTCCAGACGTTGAGTAGAAAACGTTTCCATCCATTCTCATCACAAACCACTGTTTCATCGTATCACGCCTTACGCGAAGTGCAACGACGTGCTCGCAGAAGGTTACAAGAAAATTTGTCGTCAAGGGCACAAATTTACTCCTGATGCGTCGGGAGGCAATCCACTCCGAATCACTTCCACGGAGCCCGCACCAAACTTGAGGTTGCCTGGTTTATTCTTGGTACTCCTGGGTGTTGCTGGTTTCGATTATTGATCGATCATGCCCTCATACCTAGCGTTCGCTTCAGCCCCCCTGTGTTCTTCCATGAACTTCCTGGCAGTGACCAAACCAACAAATCCCGAGGGAGGCAGTTCGTGTAACGAGGCTCAACGTTCCCCTCGCCCTGCTGCACTCACGCACTAGAATCCTTCCGCTCCGCGCACGGTACTAGTTCAGCTTTCTCATCCACCGTATCATCGCGCGCCACTTCCCAACTCGCGCATTTGAGTGTGGCGCTCGTCAGGGTCGCCCCTGTGGCAAGCCGCCGCGCTGTTTCGAGTCGTCACGCTTCGTAAGCTCGGGCCTATACCGTAGCACGTCTTCCAGCGTCCCTAGTATCTCAAATTCCGGACATGGAGTCTGGGACGATCCATAGCTTAACTGACGATCTTCTCGTTACCATCCTTACGCGTTCCTTCGAGCAACCAGTGTCGCGCGAACCTCACTTGGACATCTTGACCGCTGATGCCCCGCCAGTAGTCATGCCACACCCTCCGCCAGCCGCCGACGTGGCTCAAACCCTCCTCATCGCGTCTGTCTGCCGTCGTTGGCGTCGCCTGGCGAAGCGTCGTGTGACCACTGTGTCTGTTAAAGAAGGCGCCGTCGTGTCCCTGCACGATCTCTCGGTGGTTGTCGCATGCTTCCCTCGCCTCACACATCTGCATCTGTGTGACAACAGCTCCCAGGCGGTACATGACGCCTTCCTTTCTCTCCTCGCGTCCTCATGCCCCAACCTGACGAAAATCCACGTGGGGAGGAGCTTTGCACGGCCGCGATTGCACATCTACCTTGCTGGCTCGGTAAAGCATTATCGTAGGAAGGAGGAGCGTCATATAACGACCGAGGGCTTGGGTCGGTTTTTTAGAACGCTTCCTGGTTTGGAGCTGGTTACCTTGTTCTGCCTCCGCCAAGCAACGGAGCTACCAAGTTCCTATTTCCAGTTGAGGCATCTGCACACGTTTCTTCTCACGGACGCCTCAGCCTTGGAAAATCCCGGTTTCACCAACCTCACTGCGCTGACCACCCTGTACGTCACCTTCCCCATGAACCATCGGCACCTCTCCACCCTCCTTCGCCTCCCACAACTCGCCCATCTCTCCACCGCCGACCCTCATCAAAGCCATCACCCAGCGGCTGCTGCAAGCGTGGCGCTGCCGTCTGGCCTGAAATTGCTTAACCTGTCCCTGTGGTGTCCTGTTTTCGACACCATCTTCCCATCACCATCACCATCGCCATCACAATCACCGTCACCATCACCGTTCACGGGACTAGAGCAGCTGCTCATCACCACGTGCAGCGAGCTGGAGAGCCTTCCAGATAGCATTGGAGACTTGATGCCGTGCCTTCGCCAGCTGACCATTCGCGAGTGCTACTACTTCACTCACCTGCCTGACAGCGTTACTTCTCTGAGCCACTTGGAAGCCCTCTCCATCTCCAATTCTACCCAGTTCACCTTACTACCCAGCAACCTCGGTCATCTGCCTGCCCTCAAGCTGCTGAACCTGGAGGATTTATGCCTCGCCGAATTCCCTCCTTCGTTCTGCAGTCTCACGTCTCTCGAGGCTCTCTCAGTAGTTGACTGCAACGACCTTCCGCAGCTGCCAGCAGGGTTTGCCAGCCTCACGGCTCTCAAGGCGCTCTGCCTCTCCAACTCGTATGCTATTGCCTTGCCACAGGACGTTGGGCCCCTTGCAAGGCTGGAGGCCCTCAGGCTATACATCTATCTGTATCCCCTTCCACCTTCGTTCACCCAGCTGTTTTCCCTGACGACCCTTCACCTGGAGCAGTGCGGTGGGAACGAGCTGCCAGAAGCTCTGGGCGAGCTGAGCAGCCTGCGGGAGCTGAAAATCGTAGACTCTTTAATCACCACGCTTCCTACCTCGCTCACACGGCTCTCAAGACTCGTGACCTTGCACGTCACACGCTGCAAGTCACTGTCCAATGTACCTTCCAGCTTGGATATGCTCCTTGGGCTTAAGACGCTGGAGGTGACAGTGTGTCCGCAGCTGAGTACACCACCTGACGGTCTACCCCCTTGCCTTGAAACTCTCTGCGTGGGGCCCTTGAGGGAGTGCGCTTCCCATGTGGTGGACATCTCGCACCTCTTGCACCTGAGGGTGCTTAAGCTCAGCTGCGTTGGGGTGCGGTGCGGGTCTGCAGGGAGCAGCAGCTTGTCGTGCCTGGAGCAGCTAGAGGTGCATGTAGAAGGTGACAGACAGGAGCTCCCACTCCCCCTCGCCTTCACTTGCCTCCCTCGCCTGCGCACCTTGCTCATACAGGCGCCTGGAATGTGTACCCTCCCAGAAAGCGTGGTGGCAGTGTTGCCGGCACTGCGGCAGTTGAAGATTATGTCGTGGTCTCCAGAGGAGCTGCCAGAAAGCGTACTGGAGCTGACCTCGCTCACCTCGCTCACCATTCACGCACCCCACCTGCTGTCGCTTCCTCAACACATGAGCTGCTTGTCTCGGCTGCGCACACTGGAGCTGATTCGCTGCAGCGCCTTGCAGCACCTCCCAGGAACTCTCACCCAGCTGCACCACCTGATTCTCCACGACACCCCGATAGCATTCCTTCCTGCGAATTTTGAGCAGCTGGTTGAAAGGCGCTGACTGAGTGGGTTGGTTGGTTGTGTGCATGTGACAGGAGACTCACTCTGCTCGCTTTGAAGGTGCTGCAGGATCAGAGAGGTTGCAAGCAATGTCTCAGCGCCACCTGATGCGCACCAATGGAGGTGGTGCTGGGGTAGATGAAGGAAATGCATGGATTGGGCAGTCATGTAATGGTCGATTCAATTCTATGTTTATCATTCTCGTGTCATCACGAAGTCCCAACAGGCTGGCTTTGCACAACTACCACTTATTCTTTACTCTGCTGTGTCTGAGCAGATTGTCTGCAAATTGTTGGGTTGCAATGTTTGATATCCTCTCGTTGACTCACAGGAGAGTCGCATCATGTTTCGCTAATTTGCTACCTTTTGCAATTTTCTGCACCTCATATTGCCCGAACCCCAGATCTACCAAACCAAGCGTTGACAGGTTTTGTGATTCAGGTATTGGGTTGAAACTAGCGGCTGGAAATTTTGAAAAAATGTATACGTTTCGTTATTATCAAATGCTTTCAGCATGTACAATCTGACGGCGTCGGGTCGGCTGGTTCGGCCTATAACCCTGGCCCGAGCCACCCCCAAACGCCAGGCTAACGTAAATTTCGTCACCTTTCCGAGCCTGTTTTAGCGCGAAGACCTCGCCTGGCTGGTTCCGCCTATTCTAGATCGCCCCTGAAACCCGCGAATGCAACTAGCGATGGTCTCTAACAGTCAATGCCAAAACACCGTGCTGGGCTTGTGCCTGGTCGTCAGGAAATTGGTGGCTGGACGTCAGGTCTTTTGGGTGGCGGTGACGGTTCACCGAGCTGAGCTAACTAGGACAATGCGTGGCACAATTCGTCTAGGGCAGACCGTTTGGAAAAATACCATATCGACGCTTATACAAATCTATTTTGTTTGGAAACACACTTCGACGCTTTGTGCGATGCATGTGCTGCATTTCTACACTTCTATCTGCACGCCTAGTGTAACCGTCACCATTTGTGACTGGATGTCTTGCATTTTTTGTCCCTGGATAGCTTTGTGCGCCCTAGAAACGTTCGGTGTGTCTGCGGCGCGACACAAACACAATCGTGACCACTCAAATCAACCAGTATGGAGGCAGTGCCACTGACATTCAAATTCTAGCCCTCTTTCCCAGTCCGTTTGTGCGAACACTCCCCTAGTTCGAAATCGCTTGGTACAAGAGGGTTGAGTCGCTCATCTCATCCACATCTCATCCGCATCTTTCGTGCCTTGCCGCTGCACCACGAGCGACATGGCCATCATAGCCAATGCCACAGCTTGCGCCATTGCCGCCGCCAGTGCCTCTTCTTGCGCACTCCTCGATCCATCCCAAGCACTCTCCGCTTGCCACGATGCGCCCGCATCTGCTTCTCCGTTTCTCTTCAATCTCTTCATCTCCGTAGTTGTCGCCTCGCTTGTCGCTCTCGCCGCCCTAGTCGTCGTTGTCGTCGTCGTCGCCTCGCAATGGGCCGGCATAGGCGCCTCCGCTGCTTCCCCCCGCGACCATCCCTCCAATTCGACCAAATCCGCTTCCTCCTCCGCCTCCTCCGCCAACCCTTACGACGTCTTCCGCCCGGCGCCAGTTTCCCCCGCCAAGGCGCGCGTGCGGGCCGTGCTTAAAATCCTCATCCCCGCGGCTGTGCGCGCAATCAACTGGGCGGGGCGGCAGTGCGGCGCAGTTGCGCCGTGGTTCCGCCCGCTGGACTGGCTGATCCCCTTCCGCGAGGACGCCATGCTGCGCTGCGCGCAGTGGTGCACGGGGCTGACAGACTTCGGCGACACGAGTTTCGTGACGGCCATGCGACTAGCGGCGAAGGACGCGCGCGAAAATGCGAACCTGTCGACGTTTGGACGAATCGCCATCTGGCTCGACGTGCAGGTGAGTCGCGCCCTGTCGCGCCCCTTGACAGACTGTTCCATATCTTACCTTCGAGTTGTTCTGAATCTCTCCGTCACTGGCTTTTTGTACGACCTAACGAATCCCTCCGGAGCAATCAGCTTTTCCTGACCTAACAACCGTTAAGAAGCCTTTCAAAAACGTCGTCTCTTCACCTCCTGAATTCAATCCGTGTCGCCCCAAATGCTCACCGCGCCTCTCCTCCCTTTTATCTGCGTTGCTGCTCGGGTGATTCGGCAGCGCTTGCTGCAAAGCAGGCTACACCTGGTGGAGCACCGCAAGCAACACCCCGAGATCGAGGACGAGCCCATCAAGGTGAGATCTTCACATCGCCTCTCTTGCACGCGCGCGCGCGCGAGCGCACACGCACATGGATGTGCACGCGCTTCACACTCACGCACATACATGCACGCTCACAACGCACACGCTCACCAACAGTTACGCAAACCAGCAACTTTACTGAGCACACTGTACCAAGAGAAAAACCATAAGCGCGAGGGGTACTCATGCCCCACAACCCGCCCTCTCAACCCTTCCCCGCTCCTCTGCACACTTTTGCCAGCGCCCCCCACTTATCTTGTCTCCATCTCTTCCCCCCCCACTCGTTCCCCTCCCCTCGTCCCCCTCCCCTCTCCCCTCGTCCCCCTCCCCTCTCCCCTCTCTCCCCCTCTCCCCTCTCCCTCTCCCCTCTCCCCTCTCCCCTCTCCCCTCTCCCCTCTCCCCTCTCCCCTCTCCCCTCTCCCCTCTCCCCTCTCCCCTCTCCCCTCTCCCCTCTCCCCTCTCCCCTCTCCCCTCTCCCCTCTCCCCTCTCCCCTCTCCCCTCTCCCCTCCCCTCCCCCTCTCCCCTCCCCCTCTCCCCTCCACTCTCCCCTCTCCCCTTCCCACCCCTCTCTTCCCTCCGCTCTCCCCCGCGGGCACGGCAGGCGCCGCTGGTGGTGCTGGGCATGCCGCGCACGGGCACAACGCTCCTCTTCAACCTGCTCTCCCTCGACTCGCGCACCTTCCGCACGCCGCGCACGTGGGAGTGCCACCATCTGTACCCGCCGCCACAGCGTGCCACGTACGACAATGACGCGCGCGTGGGGCTCATGGAGGAGTCGCTCTTTGCGCTGGACACTCTCGTGCCGGACCTCAAGCATATCCACCACATGACTGCTCAGGGCCCACAGGAGACCTTTGAACTCATGTGGTGCGCCCTCCCCGCTCTGTTGCTGCCCCTCGCTCTGTTGCTGCCCCTCGCTCTGTTGCTGCCACTTGCTCTGCTGCTGCCCCTCGCCCTACTGTGCCTTGCTGTGCTGTGCCTTCCTCTGTCTCCGCCAGCACCCTCCAGCTCGCTCACGCTTCCGCCCATCTCCGCACCAGCCTACCTATCCGTTCTTTTCCATATAAGCCACCCATCTCGTCCCCGACCCCTCAACCCCTCCCCACAAACCCCCACCCTCCCCTCCTTTCCTTCCTTACCTCCCCCCCCCTCCCCCCAAACGCAACCAGCTACGACTGCACGTCGTTTGTGCTGCCATTCGCGTACCTGCACGCGCCACAGTACCTCGACTGGTTCATGGCCTCGCACATCACGCCCACCTACCGCTTCCTGCGCTGGCAGCTGCAGTATCTGCAGCACCACGGCCCCTCCGCCCCGCACTGGCTGCTCAAGAGCCCCGAGCACATCTTCTCCCTGCCCGCGCTGCTGCAAGTCTTCCCTGATGCTCGCGTGGTGTGCACTCACCGGGACCCCCTGCGCGTGCTGCCCTCCGCCCACTCCCTCATGCGCTGCTTCCGCTCCCTCACCTGCGAGCAAGTGGACGATGCCACTGTGAGTCTCTGGGGGTTTAGGAGGGGGTTTGGTTGAAGAAGGGTGTAAGATGAAGGGGGTTTGGGCAGGGGGGTTGATGGGAGAAATGATTGGTGTAGCGATGAACTGGGTAATATATCAGAGGTGATTGCTTTTATCTCACAGCTGGCACAGTCATTCTAGAAGTCTAGGCATTACAGAATAGCTTATCCTGCTTTCAACCTCCTACCTTCATGGGCTTTCATTCTCAAATACAACATTCGCAGCTCTGCCGTGTGTGCTTTCAACTAACGCCCAGTCCTCGTTCTCTCCCGTCCGTGACCCATGCATGCACCCACGGGCATGCAGATATCAACCCTGTGGGCCCCGCATCTGGCTCGCGCACTGGATAACATGATTGCTCTCCGGGAGAAGGCTGCTGAGCGGGAGAAGATGCGGGCCGAGAGGGCAATTCGGAGGGAGGTCGACTTTCAGGACTCTTCCAGTGACGACTGCTGCAGCGTGTGCAGCGACAGCAGCCGCAGCAGCGGCGAAATGGGCAGCACGAGCTCCAATTCTGACTCGGAGCAGGACGAGAACGCGGATGGGGATGATGAGAGCAACGGGGGGAGCGATCAAGAAGTTACCCGGGAGGCAGATGAGGAGGAGGAAGAGGAGGAGGAGGAGGAGGAGGATGAGGAGGAGGAGGAAGAGGAGGAGGAGTGGAGGGCGTCGCTGGCAGTAGATGTGCTGTATCACGAGTTTGTGCGCGACCCCATTGCGCAGATCAAGCGCATCTACGCGCACTATGGCGAGGAGCTCTCCCCGTGGGCGGAGCACCGCATGCGCCAGTACCTTGCAGAAGATGCCAAGGTGAGCAATGCGGCGTGTGGGTTCATGGGTGGAAGGAGGGGGTGATGGAAGGGTTGGGGGATGGGTGCAGTAGGGTCAGTAAGTTGCAGGAGGGTGCTTGAAATGAGTTCAAGGTGAGTTGTAATGATTTGAGTGCCAGTCGGGGTGAGAGGGCATGGGATGGGACATGTCGGCAGTGACTCATGTGTATGGCGCATGGCTCAGCCTTTGACCACCAAAGGCTGTTCCACCAACTGGACTGCCTTTCCTGTTGCCTCTGGCCTTCTTACCCCTTTTGTTCTCCCGGGTCCTTGTTGTCTGTGGTGGCCTGGCAGGAGCGCAAGGCGCAGCGCCACGTGTACCGGTGGGAGGACACCCACCTGGACAAGCAGGAGCAGCGCGCACGCTTCGCTCACTACGTGGCGCACTTTGGCGTGCAGCACGAGGCGTAAGACGTGCGGATGGGGCATAACGGCATGCGGGTGGGGCATGACGGTGTGCGTATGGAGCATGTGCCATGCGACGTGCAGCTTGAGCAATGCATGGGGACGGGAATGGGGAGTGTGCTTCTGGTATGGAATCGAGGGATGAGAAGGGAAGGCACGGGAGGAGGGATTCAGGGTCGAGTCATGCAGGGTGACGTCATGCACATTTTGGGATGTGAATTTGCTGCTTGTTGTGCTGGGGTTTGTTTTTTTTAAGTGATGGGGTCTGTTTAGTTAAGGCAGGGGAGCAGAGTGTATGAGCCCCTCTTGTCTGGCTTCAGAGCTGCACATACCCTCTGGTGCTCTGCCGCTGCCTGTACTTGTTTGTTTCCGTACTTGTTTTTCTACTTATGCTTTAGAAAGTTGATCCCAAGGTTTGCCCAAGCTGGGCTTTCTCTACTATTGCATAAACTAGTTTGAGGTTAAATTCCTGCGCAGGGTGCCGCTTATAATAGAATGGGAGAATGATGCACTATGTGCCTGTTATTGATACGAGGGATATTTGAAGGAAATATACAGTTTTGTTTTGAAGTTTGTTGCGGTGTAATCTTGTCCGGGCGATTGACTGTTATCTCAACGGCCATCCGCACAGTACACCCAACCGTACAGATTTCCACCACATCCGCCCTGCCCTTCGCCCTTGAGCCTCAGATAGGGAGAATGTACATCTGAGTGCGGCTCAATAAGGCTTGGTACAATTTAGAGTGGTTGGGTAGGGTATCTAGCAAAACCGTACTTCGGACGGGACTCCCCCTCAATGTGAGTTGTGCGGTCTTGTCAAGTTGGCATGATCACCCACCACCACCACCCACCTCCTCCGCAGATCACACCCAACACCACAACAACATAACCATCATACGCTCCATTCCACGCCACAGCAAGCACCATCCATCGGGAGTTGCGAGTACGGAGGGATGCGCATCCTTCTCTATGTGACCACTGCACCCTCTCTCGCCGCGCCTTCGCCATCCTCCGCGTCTCTCGTCGCGTCGAAGCGCAGTCCTTTCGCCTGCGCACAGCCCGCGCTCTTCTATTAGCCGCACCGATGCGCCATCATCCGGGCCATCAACCACGCGAGGCCTAGAGCCCGGAATCTCGCTTCGCCTCGTCACCGCGACATGCCGCCATGCAGCACCTCTGGCTCTCGCAGACCGCTGTCCTTGTCCGCCTCTGGTACCGCGCGCTCCTCGCGAAATGCCAAGAAGCCGCAGTATCCATTCGCGCTGCTGCCGCCGCCGCCGCCGCCGCCGCTGCTGGTTCCAGCGCCGCGAGCGGCGGCGCCGGCGCTGGCGCGATCCAGGGGCAAATTGGGCGGATAGGGCGGTTGGGGCGGGGAATAGGGCATCAGATCGGCGACCAGTTGCGCAAGGTGCACCTGGGGGGACGCCGCCGATGGCTGTTTCTGAGCGTCTTCATACTCGCTTCCGCTACCATGCAGATGTCGTATCCCGTGCGACAGCAGCAGGGGAAACGACACGCCGCCACGGCGCTGCCGGCGTCCTCGATATCAGCGTCCTCGTTACTGGCGGTGCAGCAGCGGGGCGGCGGGGATGACAGTAACGGGGATGCGCGAGCGATGGGTGATGACGACATGCCTTTTGCGGACTCGCAAGATTGGACGAGCCAGCGGCGAGGGGGAGGGCGCGCGGGCGGTGCATGGCGCGCAGCGGGCAAAGAATGGGGAGGGAACGGGGGAACGGGGGGAGAGGGGGAAATGAGGGAGAAGGGAGAGAATGTTAGCAGCAGATCGGGCACGCGAGACTGGGTGGGAGGGTCCGTGGGTGACGGGCGAGTGAACGTGAGCGAAGGTGGTTTGGGTGCAAATGACACGGTGGGGGGATGGACGAATAGGAGTGCGGAAGGGACGGAGGTGCTCCTGGGAAAGAGCGCAGGGGGGTTGCTTGGTGGCGGAGGAACATTGACAGGCGGAGGAGGAAGTGGAGGGGTAGGACCGGGAGGGGCCGGGGAAGCGAGAGCGGTTGCGGAAGTGGGTGGGAACTCGGGTGAGTATGGAGGGAAAGGGGGAGCTGGGGGAGAGGGCAGTGGGGCAGGAAAAGGAGTAGGAGCAGAAGGGAAAGTGGGAATGGTAGGGGAAGGAGGAAGTAGAGAAGGAGGAGAAAAAGAAGGACTGGTGGAGGGCGGAATTGAGAAGATGAGCAGCGGTGGCAAAGAAGCGGGTGGAGAGACAGGGGGTAGAGAGGCAGGGAACAAGAGCTCCTCCGAGGGAGAGGCGAGGTCTTATGGGTACTGGCGAGCAGGAGGCAAGGGCGGGGAAGCAGAGAGTTTGGACAGGGAGAGGCGAGGCGGGTCACTGGAAGGGGAAGGTAGCAATGGTGGGGATGGGCGGAGAGTGGATGTGCGAGAGCGGTATGAGAAGGACGGGCGGGATAAGGTGGCAGGTCGCGGATGGTGGGGGTGGGGGAGGGGGAGCTGGAGTGGACGGGGGAGGAATGGGGAGAGAGGGGCGGAGAAGGAGAGTGCAAGAGAAGATGGAGGGATGGGGAGTAGAAGTGGGGAGGAGGGGGAAGGTAGGGGAGGGAAAGACGGAAGGGCGTGGAGGGATGCGCAGGGGGAGGGGAGCAGGGAGGCTTGGGCGAGGAGGGAGAGAGAAGGAGAGGCAAGGGAACGGGGGGAGAGTGAAGGAGGGAAGAGGGAAGCAGGAGTGCGGCATGAAGGGAGCAGTGAAGGTGCGGCCAGTGGCCAGAACCCACCGGGGGGAGAGTCCTTGAGTCCTGGAGAAACCCAAGGGCCGGAGGGAGAGGGGGCGCACAGGCAGGGAAGAGCAGAGGAGGGCATGCTGGAGAGGGATTCGCGAAGTGGGGAGCATGGCGGGCCCAGGGATGAGAGGGAACTGTGGGAGGCACGGCAGAGGGACCAGGGGGAGCATGGGTCGGGGCGGGGGGTGCAGGAGGCAAGTGGAGGGTATTCTGTCAGGGGTGGAAAAGGGGCAGGGACGTACGTGGAAGGCAGGGGGGAAAATGGCAGGGAGTGGGCAAGAGGAGGGGCAGGAAACGGTAGCACTGCACTGGGTCAGAGAGGAGGGATGGGGGAGATGAAGGGTAGTGCGTTGGTGGATAAGGGGGGTGAAGGTGCTGTGGTGAGCAGGGCCGGCATGGATGCCCCAGCAACGCCAGCAACACCAGCAATACCCAGAACACCAGGAGCACCAGGAGCACCAGGACTGGGAGGATCATCTGGGTTAGCAGTGGGGAAAACAGGTGCAGGAGGGGCGCAGGCAGGGAAGCTACAGGGGGGGATGGAGAGAGGGGCAGGAGGGGCTGTGGGAGGGGCAGGAATCGGGGCTGCTTCGGAAGCAGTTCATGGGTCGGGGGCAGGGGCAGGTGGTGGCGGAGGAGAAGGAGGAGCAGGAAGGGTTGTGGAGGGTGCAGGTGCAGCGTCGGCGGAGGCGTTGCCTGGGGCTTCAGTGCAGCCTGACGTGCATGTGGTGGCAGAGGTGACGTGTGCATGCTTCCATTTAACATGCTTCCATTTAACATGCTTCCATCCATCATGCTTCCATCCATCATGCTCTGCTCCATGCCACTGTTTCTCGTTTCTCTTGGCATCCTTTTCCCCTCCCACTGTCCCTTCCCACCAGTTTAACCGCACTCTGCACTCTTCACTTCACTTCCTGAAGAGAACCCTGCACCCTCCGCCGCCACCAAGCAGAACCCCACCATCTCCCACTGTGTACACTTACCCTTCCCTCCTCCCTCCTCCCGTCCAACCCCTACTCGTCCAACCCCTACCCGTCCAACCCCCCCCTCCCTCCTTCTCCTCCCCCCTGCCCATGGCGCCCCTCCAACCAACAGGGTCTGCTGCCCAACCGGCTGCGGGCAGTGTGTGTAGCACACGCCCTCACACGCGCCTCAGGCCTCTCCGTGCGCCTGCACTGGCGCCAGCACATGCTGCTCCCTCCTACCGCCATGCGCACAGCAGCCACACAACCAGACATCCCCCCAGCCACAGCCACAGCAGCAGGAACAGCAACAGGCGCAGGAACAGGTGCAGGGACAGGCGCAGGCAGCTTGAGTGGTGGCGGTGTGGGGGGTGTGGGCGGGGGTTATGTGGCAGCGGCGTTTGATGATCTGCTGATGCGGCTGCCGGGTATGACAGTGGACGTGCGCGAGGAGGTGGTGGTGATGCCGGGCGAGCAGGGCAAGGCGGGCTTTGCAGGCGCGGATGCGCAGGCGGGTGCGGGAGGGTTCAAGCCTCCTGCTGGCTTCGTGCTGCAGAAGGTATGCGTTTGTGTGGTGCTGCTGCTCTTGTTGCTGCTGCTTCTTGGTGATGGTGACAGGCCCGTTTCCTGATCTGCTTCCTCTCGTCAGCCCAAGCTGACAACCTGCACTATGCACTCACAGGCCCCCTTCCTGTCCCTCTCCAACTCGCTCTCTCCTCCCCACTTCTCTCCTTTTCACCTCTCTCCTCCCCACTTCTCTCCTCTCCACCTCTCTCCTCCCCACTTCTCTCGTACGCTCTTCTGTTCCCTCCCACCCACATCACTGCGCTCCACCGCACAGCTACCTATGGAGTCGCCAGCCTGTGGTCCGGCGCCCTTCCACCAGCGCCAGCACGGCCCCATCCTGCTCTACCTCTCCTCGCCCGCTTCCCACTCGCACCAACTTGTCAGTTACCCCTTTCCTTCCACACTCCTGCTCCTATCCTTCCGGCTCCCCTCTTTCCCGCGCCAATTTTCACTACGAATGATCATGCACACTCCTCCGTTTGCTTCTCTGCGATCCAAACCGCGTGCACTCGTTTAGGAGCCACAGAGCGTGTTGTGTGGCCTATTAATCTGCATTCAACAACCGTGCTTCCATTTGCTCCTTGTGCGAGCCTTAATAGCACTGTGCTTTCAGCTCAAGCCTTGTTCATTCCTCTGCTACCCACCCTTTTTCCCACCCACATCCTCCCAAGTTGCTCTCATGTCACCCCTCTCAGCTGCTCTTACCCTCTCTCACCATCCCTCACCCCCTCTCATCACCTCTCAACGCCTCGTACCCCCTCTCAACCCCTCTCACCCCCTTGCAGCAAGAGTGCATACAGGGCATCATCAACGCCACGTCAGCCTGCCAGCTGGCGACGCCTCTTAAGACGTGCTACAGCCAGCTGGCCCCGGCGGCGCCCGTGGAGCAGCTGATGGCCAATGAGAACATGACACGTGTGCGCGAGTCCACCGGGGTGTACTTTGAGGTGCGATGGGGCATCCCTAGATGTTTGTGGGGGAATGGAGCCGGGGCCAGGGCTGGGGCTGGGGCAGTAATGTGTATGTGTGGGTGGGGTGGGGCTAGTATGCATCTTAATCGCGAGAATTCTCTGAAGGATCTCCAGTACACCTGTGCCTTTGTTGGTTGCTGAAAGCCAACAGATAAAAAACGTGTGCTGCTGCACTTAATATGTGATTCTTACCATCCATTTCCTCTTCCTCCCTCCTATGCCACTCCCTCAATCCCGGCTTCTCCCCTCTCCGTCTCCCCTCTCCATCCCTCCCATCCCATCCCCTCTCGCCCCCTTTTCTCCTCCCTCGCCCCTCCCCCCCCCAGGGCCCCACGTCATCCCCAGTGCTATACGGGGGCTTCCTCTGTCCAGCGCCATGGGTGCTCAACTGCTCACTGCACCACCTACTACACCACATGCTACACACCCCCTCCGCCACCTTCACCACAGCCTCCTTCTTCCCCTCCTTTTCCACCGTTCTCTCCCGCGCGCTGCACCCCTCGCGCCTCCCCATCCTGCTCGCTGCCTCTGCGCGCCGCTACACGCTCTGCTCCTTCTTCCGCCCGCCCTCGCTGCCCATGCGCCCGCCCCAGCCGTCCATGAGCGAGTGGAACGAGAGGCGCAGGAGCAGGCAGCAGCAGCAGGAGGAGGGGTACCTGGGGGAGGATGTAGTGTTGGAGGGACGGATGGACGAGGGAGGGGGAGGGGGAGGTGGTGGAGGGAGTGTGGCGGGAGGTAGGCTAGGAGTGGCTGTGGACTTGGGGCTTTCGGCGGTGGAGAAAAAGCGAGCGGCCAGTGGGTTTGCCAGGTGCGCAGATGTTCTTTTCCTTCCGTGTGTGTGTGTGCGCGCGCCAAGCGCGTGCTAGTGCCCGTGCGTGTGCGTGTGCATGCGCGTGCGTGTGCTTGTGTGTGTGTGTGTGTGTGTGTGTGTGTGTGTGTGTGTGTGTGTGTGTCTGGCACATTTTCCACGCATGGTCTCTCCCCAGTGCCCACCAACACCTCCCCACACTCTCCTGCTCCCCTCCTGCAACCCTTAAACCCCTTCCCCCCGTCCCCTTGTTCCCCGTCTCCTGGCCACACCACCTCTCTCACACACCCCACCACCTCTCCCCATCCCTCAACAGCCCTGCCAGCAACGCCTCTCGCACCACGACGGGCGCCAGGCGGCGGCTGCTTTTGAGTCAACTCAAAAGTCACACCCCCCCCCCCACCACCTGTGACCTGTCGCGCCCCTCAACAGCCCTGCCAACGGCACATCTCGCACCACAGCGGGCGCCAGGCGGCGGCTGCTGCAGGCGAAGGCTCAGCCTGGAGCAGGTGGTTCTGCGAGGACGGGGAAGAAGCCGGGGGGGCTGCTGGGGGGTGGGGCAGCAGGTGCCAGCAGGAAGGGCAAGATTTTCCCTCTGGACGTCGCCAGGCAGTGCGACCAGCTCTGGGTGCGTTTTCTTGCTGCATCCCTGGGATTGTGGTAGTTGTTGCAAGGAGCTTTGCTGGTTGGTTGGTGGGGTAAGAGAGGTCCCATGCATCAGTGGTGAAATGTGATTGGTTAGTGATGAAATGCGGTTGGTGAGTGGTGGAATGCAATTGGTGAGCGGTCGAATGAAATTTGTGAGTGGTCGAGTGCGATTGGTAAGTCGTCGCACTTTCACACGCCCAGCCCATGCTCGACCGGAAACCCCGCTCAACAATTTCTCGAGACTTTTCTTTGCTCCAACCCTTTCCACAAGTACATGCCACCCACTCAAACTCTCTCTCTCCACATCTCCCCACCTATCACAGCGACCAGTCACCAGAGCTCTTCCTCATCCCCCCTATCCCCCCGCCCCTCTGCTTCCCCCACCGCCTGCCAGCTGGCGGAGCTGTTCACCCTGGGGCGAGCGAGGGCGCTGCTGCACCTGGCACGCTCCATATAGTCTGACTTCATCGCCTGAACTCAATCCCCAACCCCAACAACCCCCCCCCCTTCCGTCCTTACCCCCCAACCACCACCCCCTTCCCCACTCCCTCCCCCAATCAGCTAGCGGAGCTGTTCACACTGGGACGCACGAGGGCGCTGCTGCACCTGGCACGCTCCATAGAATCCGACTTCATCGCCTCCCAGGCCGCTGCAGCCGAGGCAGCAGAGCGGCTGGAGGCAGAGGCGAACGCAGTACTGGCAGGCATCGATGTGTTCCTTGCTCTGTACCACAACGAGGGCGGTGATGGGCAGGGCGGGAGTGGTGGTGGTGCTGCTGGTGGGGGGGCTGGTGGTAAGGGGAAGGGAGGGGTGTCGCCGCGGTTTGCGCTGCTGCCGCTGATCCCCAGCACGGCCCAGGCCACGAGCTTGTTCACGAGGAGCACTGTTGCGCATCAGCTTATAGTGGATGGTGAGTGGGGTGGTGAGTGGGATGGTGAGTGGGATGGTGAGTGGGATGGTGAGTGGGATTTTGAGGAATGGCTTCTTTACAAATCGCTCTCAACTGCACATAATCATTCTGCGTCCCTCTTCCTCCCCAATCTCTCCACCCCCTTCTTCCCACTCCCCCTCCGCTCCCCTCCCTGTCCTCTCCCCCTCCCTTCCCCCTCCCTCCAATCTCATTCCGCTCTCCCCTCCCTCCCTGGTTCCTCCCTCAGAGCGCCTGAACGCCAACCACTGCTTCAATTCCCAAGGTGGCCTGCACAAGCTTCTTCTCCCCTCCTTCACCTCGTCTTCCCCTCCCCCTTCCCTCCTTCCCCCCTGCCATCTCACAGAGCGCCTTAGCGCCATGTACTGTGTCATTCCCGAGGGTGGCGTGCACAATCTTCTTGTTCACGCTCTTTCCTCTTCTCCCCCTCCTCCCCTGCTGCTCCCTTCTCAGAGCGCCTCAACGCCATGTACTGCTTCATTCCCGAGGGTGGCATGCACAATCTTCTTGTTCACGCTCTTTCCTCTTCTCCCCCTCCTCCCCTGCTGCTCCCCCCTCAGAGCGCCTGAACGCCATGTACTGTTTCATCCCCAAGGTGGCATGCACAGGATTCATGTTTCCTCTCCTCCCGCTCTTCCCCGCTTCTCCCACCTCTCCTCCTATCCCATTCCTCTCTCTTCTCCGCCCCTGCCTCCCTTCTCAGAGCGCCTCAACGCCATGTACTGCTTCATTCCCGAGGGTGGCATGCACAATCTTCTTGTTCACGCTCTTTCCTCTTCTCCCCCTCCTCCCCCTCCTCCTCCCCCATCAGAGCGCCTCAACACCATGTACTGCTTCATCCCCAAGGTGGCCTGCACATCCTGGAAGTTGTGGTTCCGCACGTACCACCACTTACCCAAAGCCGCCAGCGTTGACTGGGCGCATGCCCCCGGCGCCAACGGGCTCCCCGAGCTCTGGTTCGCCTTCGATGAGGCCGCAGCACTTCACGCACTATCTGATATAAGCCTGTTCCCTCTCCTCCCTTTCCCCTCCCCTCCCTTCCCCCTCCCTTCCCCCTCCCTTCTCTCTTCCTCCACCCATTCCCCGCTCTCCCCTCCTCCCCTCCTCCTCCCTTCTCAGAGCGTCTCAGCACCATGTATTGTTTCATCCCCAAGGTGGCATGCACGGCCTGGAAGGTGTGGTTCCGCACGTACCATCACCTGCCCAACGCCGCCAGCGTTGACTGGGCGCATGCCCCCGGCGCCAACGGACTCCCCGAGCTCTGGTTCGCCTTTGACGAGGCCGCAGCGCTGCGCGCGCTGTCCGATAGAAGGCTGTTCCGGTTTGTGTTTTTGAGGGACCCGTTTGCGCGCGTGGCGTCGGCGTATCTGGATAAGCACGTGGCGGGGGGCGTGGGGAGCAAGGGGCGGAGGGCGAGTGGGAGCGAGGAGAGGATACTCAAGGGGCGCCAGCAGTGGAACATGGTGCGTGCTGCCTTCCCCCCCCCCCCGCCCCATGCAGCCACCCTTTGCTCTCTTGCTTGCTCTACTGCTGCTCATTCGTACCTCTTTGTTATATTCTAAACCATTGAGCCGGCACGATTTTCGATTCGAGGCACCCCAAAGGTCGATTTTTTCTCAACCAGTGAATGGCACTCTCTTCTACTGGCTCCTTTTTGCAGTGGCCTTTTATGCTGGTTCCCTCTCCAACGTCTCTGCTGCTCCACTTGTCCACGCCCCTCATTTCCTTCACATCCCACCTCCATACTCTCCCGGTCGTTCCCATCTCGGCCCCTCCCACCCCTCCCCTCCCCTTCGTAGCTCTTCTTCTCCCGGGTGCCGAAGCTGCTAGCACAACTAGCAAACCCAGTGTCGCATCTGCTGTCCTTCCGCGACTTTGTCTACCTCATCGAGCGAGTGCCCAAGGACTGGCTCGAACCACACATCGCACCGCAGGTGGGGCAAGGAGAGCATTTTCTGGTGAGATTGGGGCGGGTGCGAGGAAGAGCTGGCTGGTCGGTTGTGCTGTGAAATGAATCTGCTGCTCTGGCGCTTTCTGCTGCTGCAGTCGCACTGTGGTAAAGCCTACTCTCGCACTGTTTCTTCAGCATTTTGCTGCGGCACGGCACTGCCATGATTGCTGCCCTCTGACTGCTTCCTTACTGATCGCAACAAAGTCTGCGTCCTCTTACTGACGCTTTAATGCTAGAGTGTTCCGACGAGTGACACTCCCCCCGTTTCATTGTTGCATCTGCCGTCCCAGCACAGCGAGATTCTGCTGCCGTGTCTTGTGGCACCTTATAAGGCACCAGTAAACTTAAGTCATCTGAACAAAACCCCCGTCCACCACCACGTTCCTCCCCTCCGCAGGCGCGCCTGAGTGGGCTGCGATTATGTGGGGCGCCTGAAATCAATGGAGCGAGATGCTGCTGCCGTGTTCTGAGGCGCCTCATAATTTCAAGTGACCTCAATAGAACCCAGTTTTTCCCCTGTTCCTCCCCTTCTCTTTGCAACTGTCCGCAGGCGCGGCTATGCGGGCTTCACGACATCAAGTACGACTACGTGGGGCGCCTGGAGTCTCTGGAGCGCGATGCTGCTGCCGTGCTGCACCGCCTGGGCGACCTCCCCTCCTACTCCCTCTTCTCCTCCCCCACCTCTGCTGCCTCGCTCGCTGACGCCGATGCCTCTTCCGATCCGGCTACTCTCTCCCTCGCCATGACTGCTGCTGCTGGCACTGCTGGTACTGCAGCTGGTACTGGTGCTGGAGCAGCCACTGTTGCGGGGGGGAGCAAGGCGCAGGTGGGAGTGGGGCAGTTTCATGTCACCAATGCTGCGAACAAGCTTCTGGAGCTGTACGATAAGGTAAGCCACGTATGATTAAGGTAAGCCACGTATGATTAAGGTAAGCCACGTATGATTAAGGTAAGCCACGTATGATTAAGGTAAGCCACGTATGATTAAGGTAAGCCACGTATGATTAAGGTAAGCCACGTATGATTAAGGTAAGCCACGTATGATTAAGGTAAGCCACGTAAGATTAAGGTAAGCCACGTATGATTAAGGTAAGCCACGTATGATTAAGGTAAGCCACGTATGTTTAAGGTAAGCCACGTATGATTAAGGTAAGCCACGTAAGATTAAGGTAAGCCACGTATGATTGAGGTAAGCCACGTATGATAAGGGAGCACTGCCGACCCCTTTCCATTCGACTCAAAGCACGTACCCAGACTCCTGCCCTTTCATTCTCTGCCTCCACCTTTTGCCCTCCACTTCTCCTTCCACCTCCATCTGTTATCCGTCCCATCTCAACCCTCACCCGCTCCCCTCTATGCATCCACCCTGTTTCTCCCACATGGGCCCCTATCTCTTGTTCCGCTTGATCTATTCCGGATACTTGTGCTGCATGCGTCTGATGCTGCAAGGCTCTTCCTTGTGCCCAGATGTCTTTTGAGTCGACTTAAAAGTCTGCTCAGATGTCACACCTCCCTCCTGTATCCATCTCTTCTGGTTCTCTTCTCCGCCACCAATTCCCTTCCTGCATTTCTCACAACTTCCTTCTCTCCACCTTCTCTCCCCACAATTTCTTTTGTCCCCCCTTCACTGCCTCCTGCCCCGGGCTCCCACAGGAGACGTATGAGCGAGTGAAGCGGATTTACTGGGTGGATCTGAGCATCCCTCTCAACAATATCACTGCAGACATCCCCCGCGTGTTGAGAGAAAAGTTTGAAACGCCCAAGAAAGCACCTACAAGGCACTGAAAAAGGTGCTCAAGACGAGTGCAGCGCAGCGCAGCATAATATGTTGCCAAATTCTTCGGTTAATTATGGCTGGATCTAGTGCCTATGGCAATCGGGGTTCAAGTGTTGTATTGTAATTTGTAAGCTCGTCTTGCTGGTATTTGTCAAAATGGGTGTATGATGATGAGTGGGTTCCTATAATGAATATATTCCTTCTTGTTCAGCCTCACAGCTTAGAGCAAGCAAAGGTTCATGTGCATCATTTAAATTCTATTCAGAGAAATAGAGAAGAGGTAGAATACCCTAATTACTCTGATCAGACCATATTTTTTCAGGACAAATGTTCCTGCTTACCCTGAAGAATCAGGATGAGATATAGTTCTGCATTTTCAGTATCACCAGGTAGTACCATACTAGATTTCTGTACTCTTTTGTAGCACGAGTTAGTAAACCAAACCCTGGAGTCCCCTCGGTCAAACCCTAGTCTACTCAAACCAACAACCAGCGCTTGGTCAGCGACGTCAACGCACGAAAAGGTGGTTTGGGGTACTAAGAAACTGATGACGTGGCACCTGCTTCACACCCACCCTTGGCGCCATGCACCGTAGGTTCGGCAGAGCGAAAGTAGAAATCCCTAAGCTTGGGATTTCAGTCTCCAGATTTTCGTTCTGATTCTTTCCGTTCTAGGCAGGCATCACCAGACGCCTCCCTTTCCACGCTTTAGTAGTTTGCACGTACATTCGTACAGCGTCGACTTAGCAAATACTTAACTTATAACTTAGCTGAAAGGCGGCGTAAGAGAACCTTTTCCTTGCATATCATATCCGTTCATCCATACTTGCAGCCTTGACCATTCCCGCCTCCATCAATGGACGAGCCGCTCAACCGCCGCTGCACATCACCGTCGCCGGCCTCCCCTCGCGTCCGCCGTCGCAATCCGTCCGATCGCACGCCTGCCATTGCATCGGATAGTACCACGGCTGCTGCTTGCATCGGCGCGTGTTCGAGCGACATTGATCGGCTGCCAGATGTCGTCTTGCTACATATCATCCACCACGTCAGCAGTACTACTGCTGAGCGCAGAAGCAGCACCCCTTCTTCGAGCAGCATTACCAGCAGCAGCGGCAGCAGCAACGGCGAAGCCGTGAATGGAGCGACCACCGCAATCAGTGCAAGCAGTAGCACCGATGCTGCTAGCACCGATGCTGCTAGCACCGCCCCCTTGCCATATCCAACAGAATCATGCCCTAATGCTACCATCATCACCCGCTATTGGAACGGCTACAAGCATCAGCAGCATCTGCCTTGCAAGGACCTTACATGCACTTGCAAGGCGGAGAACAGCGCCGTCCCCCCCACTCCGCCGCTGCTCACCTGCGCGCTCGTCTCCCGCCGCTGGCTGCGCCTCTCTGCGCTTGTCCCCCGCGCCCTCACTGTCCCCCCCGGCCTCCGCTTGCGCACCCGCGCCCTCCTGCGGACACTCTCCGCTTTCCCCCTGCTGCGCTCCCTTACGCTACACGGGGACTGCTGTCGCAGCAGCAACAGCCGCCACAGCAGCAGAACCAGTAGCAGCAGCATCGGCAGCTGCAGCAGCAGAGGGACTATCAGTGATTACCTCATCGCCCGCCTGGCGACGCTGCTGCCGCAGCTGACGTCACTGTCGCTCGTTGGCGTTGCGGCAATCCCAAGGCTCTCCCCCTTGGCGCCCTCTCTGCTGTGCTTAGAGATCCGCGGCGCAGGGGAGGGGATGACGCATCTCCCTGGAAAATGCCTAGGCCGGCTCACATCTCTGCAGGAGTTAGTTTTGAGGGATTGCGTGGCGCTGCGGCAGCTTCCGGCGTCGCTTGCATTGCTGCCGTCGCTGCAGCGGGTTCGCGTGGAAGGATGCTATTCGGCGATGCTTGACGCTTGGACGACGCCCAGGGATGGCTCTGGGCTGGCTGTGCCGTTTATGAGGGAGGATGGGGAGCGAGCGGTGGGGAACAGCGAAGGAATGGCTGCATCATACGTGATCATGATGATGATGTGGTTGTTTCGGTAGTGTCGAGGGGTTCAAGTGATGGGGAGGGTGCGGAAGAGGCATACGATGGGCAGCAACTGCCCCCGCAGTGGCGAAGGCGACAGCGGCGGCAACGGAAGAGGCTCCAGCAGGCTTTTAGTCAATGTGAGAAGAGTGGTGTCGCCACTGTAACTGCAGCAGCAGCACAGCCACGCCAGCCCCTGTTCTTTTCCAAGCTGCAGCAACTCGAGCTTGCTGACGTGTCAGCACTGCATCATCTGCCACGTGGCATCCTCCAGCACCACTCGCTCAAGCGCCTCGTGCTGGACGGATTCTCAGGCGCCTCCCTTTCTGCTACTGGCAGCGTCGACTCCATCGAATGCCCGATCCGCATGCCCAGCCTGCATCATTTGGAACTGCGCAACCTTCCAAAACTTTCGCAGCTGCCCGACTGCCTTTCCATGCCCGCCGCCTGCCCGTCCCTCACCATCCTTTCCATCGAGAACTGCCCGCGCATCTCTTTGCTCCTCACTCCGCCCCCCAGCCTGCACACCTTAAAGCTTCACAGTCTTCCCAACCTGACCTCCATCTGCGATCCACTGCATGCCCACTGCCCGTCGCTCTCTATCCTCGTTATAGAGCGATGCTCCAACCTCCGTACGGTGCCGTGCTTTCCTTCGCGCAGCCTGTCGCACGTGGAGATTCGAAAGCTCCCAAATCTCACAACACTAACATCCCCTCTCAACCCCTCCTCCTCCTGCTTCTCCTCCCCTTGCCTCTCCGTCCTTGCAATTGAAAACTGCCCTCTCCTTGCTATACACCCCTCTGCAACCACCCCTTTCGCCTTCAACTTTCCAAACCTGAGGGAGCTATGGCTGCAGGACCTTCCTCTGCTGCACGAGCTACCGCCCTCCTTCTCCTGCCTCTCCTCCCTGCACCGTTTGGTCATCGCCCGCTGCCACGGGCTCTACTCACTCCCTGACTGCCTGCCAGAGCTCCCCTTGCTGCGTGATCTTGCCCTGGTAATAAACCACGAACTCACCATCCTCAGGGACTTCCTGCCGCGCCTGCACTCGGTGCGTCGCCTGGTGCTGCATCGCGGGCAGGCGAACAAAACCAGGGTCGTTCATGGGAGGATGGGCGTGCGGCCAAAGTGCAGGCCGCCTCCGCGGGTAAGGGAGCTTCACACGGATGACTTTGGCAGTGAGGTGCTCTGCCTGCATGAGCTGGAGAGACTGGAGGTGATTGGGGAGAACCTCGCGAGAATGAGCATCTCGGAGGTTAGGGTTGTGGAGGAAATGATGAAGCCTGGCGGAGAAGGTGGGAGGAGGGATGTGGAGGAAGAGGAGGGTAATAGCGGCTTTGATGTGAGGTGTTGGGAGGGTGGGAGACGGCTACCATGGGTGGACGAGGTATTGGAAAGCAGCCAGGGCACGGGTAAAGACAGCAGCAGCGAGATAACTAGCAATGGAAAGCTAAGCACTGATGAAGACAGCAGCAGCGAGATAACTGGCACTAGAAAGCAAAGCACTGATGAAGACAGCAGGAGCAGGAGCGGCACAAGACAGCATGGCAGGAAGCGTCTTTTGCCTTGTTTGCGACGCCTGTCCCTTGTTGACTGCGTTGCTGGCCCTCGCTTCCCTCCCTGGATGCGCCACCTCACGTCCTTGCAGCACCTCTCGCTCACCCACATCAGCCGATGCACGCAGCTTTACTGCCATGCGGAACAATTCAACGCGGCTCACCAGTTGCGACGCATGCTCAAAGCTTATCTGCAGGAGGAGGAGCATTGGGAGAATCTCACATCACTGCAGCAGGTAGACAGATGTGCGTGCTGCCCCGTGGCTGTGCCCTTGGAGTGGCAGCCTCTATTGCGTGTGGTTGATGCAGTAGCGGCGGAATCAGTAGCTTGCGGAGGTGATGTGATTCGACGAGCAGGATTTGTGCTAGGAGAATTGGCATGAATCATGAACCAAAGGTGGGTGATATTACCAGTGCAGGGAGTAGCTTACTATATACCGGTAAGACCTTACCATATCTATGGAACAGCATTGCTCGCACCAGCTTGTGTGCACTGAGCTTCACTTGGGTTTACAAACAACCGCAGTGTGTCGAGCGATGCACAAATTAGAAGCGGATTTGTTCAAAGACAGAGTGTCTGCTGGGATGCAAGGCCTGCTTGACCACAGGGTCATCCCTTACTGCTGCCATCTCCCTGCTTCGCAGCCGTTCCTGCAGCTGCACAACCACGCCCTTCCACACACCGCGCTTTGCATTGAAAACCATGGTGAACGCGGAGAGGCCCAGGAAGGTGACGATGTTGGCAGTGAATATGCATGGGATGGGTTCTCCCACTTCCTTGGATGCTGCCTCCAGCCGCAATCGAATGAGCCCTGCATAGTAGCTGCAGGCAGCGCGGGCAAGGGGGAGGGAAGGGGGTTAGGAGAACGAGAGAGGGGAAGGGATGGAAAGAAATCTGTTGCTTTAACAAGGAAACACAATCTGAAAATGTGTGTAAGCTTGTGAAATGAGCGCATCAAAAGCAGCTAAGCTGATCGGCGGGTGCAAAGCGCTATTCCAGCTCACTTGATAGCGGAGATAATCGCATGGGTGAAGAACTGGGCCTGTACATGGCACACACATGGACCCCGCGCAGCAAGAGAGGCCCCACCCCTCTTTTTCTTCCATGGCTTCTCCTCCCCGGCCTTGCTCTGCCCCATCCTTCTGTGCGTGGCACGAAGATGACCCGTGCGAGGCACAGTTGTGTGGCAGCGAGAGCGCGGCGTGCAGGCAGCAGCAGCGGGGGAGAGGCGGCGGGCGCGGCAGTAGGCGGTGAGCTTGATGGCAGCGAGGCGCAGCGCCTGGTACGCGTTGACGAGCAGCGTGGGGGGGCTGTTGATGGCCGGGTCCAGCAGCAGGGCACAGCACTTGGGGCGCAGGAACTGCCGCAGCTTCGTGGGTATCGCCGTGGAGGGGGGATCGCAGAAACTCACTGTTACTGCCGTAGCCATGTCTGTGCCCCAGTACCTGCCGTGGCGTGGGGAAAGACAAAATGGTGTTCATGGCCTTAAAATTAAAAAAGAAAAGGTTGATTCTGAGAATTCTATGAATCAACTTACTGTCACTGCTGTGCCCATGTCTGTTGCCCAGTACCTGCCGTGCCGTGGGACGGACAAGACAACAGGGTGTTCGTGGCCTTGCTTGGCGTTTGCACGCTTGTGCAACAGCAGACAAGATGGGCCGAGGAGCAGTAGTATAGAAGAGAGCAGATAATGCAGGGCAGGCAAGAGGGGAGGTGGTAGTAGAGGTGAGAAGAGGATGAGCGGAAAGGTTCCTCGGGCAGCGTTGCGAGAGTGTCCCGGATGCAACACTGGTAACATGAGAGGATGGCAAGGCAACCCACGGCAACAAGTGCAGGGCAGTGGCGGCATGGGAGTGCAGGGAGGGGGATTGGGGAGGAACGGGGAGGGCGCCCACCTGGTGTAGTCTGCCTGCACCTCCAGCGTACTGCAGTTCACCAGCAGTCCCGCCCACCGTATGAACCGCCGCTTCGCCTCCCAGCCCTGCGCCATCTCCCCACCATCCCCCACCTCCTCCTCATACACCCTCTCTTGAAATGTCCTCTCACTTCTCTGCATTCCCCCTGCCCCTCCCTCCTCTCCATTCCCTGTCCTTTTCTCTCCCCCCACCTCCATTGCCTCTGCTCCTTCTCGGCCCTGCTGCTTCATGCCTGCACTGTCATTTTCTACCCGCATTCCTCCATCCCTCGCCACCCACTCGCCTTCCTTCCGTCCACATCCGTCCCTCTCCCCACCAGCCACACTTGCACCTGTATCTCTCCTACCCTTCCCCAGCACCAGTGGGAAGCTGACAGCTGTCTTGCTCTGGTTTGCCCGGCAGCCATACTCCTGGAAGCCGGTGTGCATGGCAGTCACGTAGGCAGCGACATGGGGTTGCGACGTGGAGATGAAGAGGGAGTCATCGATGAGCCGTAGCAGCAGCGAGTGGGCGCCGCCAAGGGGAGGAAGTGGAGGTGATTCTTGCGCCGATTTGTGGCAGTTACCCTGCTGCTGCGGCGGCTGCTGCTGCTGCTGCTGCTGCTGAGTATTGCTATTTCTGTGTGGATGCATTGGCTTGGCATCACTCCCACAAGCCTCTCCTTCCTTCTCCTCGGCTCCAACCACCCCATCCCTCACCCTCACCGACCCCCCTCTCTTCTCCCTCTCCTTGCGCCTCTCACACTCTCCTTCACCCGCCCCCTCCTCGCCCCCGGCCCCCCCGTGTTCCCTTGAAACCCCCCCTTGCCCTGCACCCCTGCCCTCCCCACCCTCCGGTGGCGGCAGAGCGCCCAGGGCAAGTGGTGTGAGTGAGGGGAGGAGCACATAGCGGTCCAGATGAGCGTAGAAGAGAGAGCACAGCAGCGCAGACAGCACCGAGCCCTGGGGGATGCCCGTTTGCTGCAAGAAGAACTGCCGCCCGGCCCTGATGACGTGGCAGCTGATGTGGCGCCGCAGCAGCTGCAGGATGTGGTCGCGACGCCACAGGGACGTCAGGCCCTGACGAGGCAGAGTGGAGGGAGGGAAAAAGGAGAGAGCAGAGTGCACACGTGTCAGTAACAGAGTGGAAGTGGGGGATTGAACAAAAACAAACGTGCTTGTTTTGTTTGATCACATTTGCAGCGACCCATCCTTCACCATCCTCCTCTCCCCATGCCTCACGCTCCCCGCAACCCCATTATCACACAAGTGTGTTCGCCGTGCAAGCACACCTGCCAAGCTGCACACGCGTGTGTGACAGGCACTGTTCACAGCACCTGCTGCTCACGCCTCTCACGCACTCAGGTGGAGCCCCTTGTTCGAAAAATTTCAATCAACGCACAAAAATTTGACAGGCACAAGCGCATCTCGTCTCACTCACCTTATCCTCCACAATACAAGCCCCTGATTGCCTCGCCTGCACAAGGCACCACCACGGCACACATGCCTGCTGCTGCTGCTGCTGCCACGGCCTCACGGCCACCACTGCTGCTGCTGCCGCTGGTGGCACTGCTGTTGCCTGTGTTGCTGCAGTTGAATCCGCTGCTTCAACTGCCTCCCTTGCTGCTGCCCCTTGCACCTCATCAGCTGCTGCTCTTGCCATGGCAAATCCAACAGTCGCAGGTGTCACTGCAGCACATGGATGTTCAGGTGCCATGGAAACGGGCATGGGCAAGGCCATGGGCATGGCTGCTCTGTGGGACCTGGGAGTGATGAGGCCGTTGGCTCGTGGCGAGATGGCAGAGAAGCGCCGCACAATGTAGGCCGGGGTTTCAACAAACTCCTGCTCACAGCCGTGGAAGGGGAGGGGGGCAGGGAAGGTGGGAGAGAAGGAGAGGCTTGGAGTGAACAAGGGTTTTGAACGACCCCATTTAGGCATTACTTTTTATTACTTGTCACCAAATCAGCCATACCTGCACAGCTTCTTCTTACCTGAACAAGTTGTCACCTGCACAAATTGTCAATTTCACCAGTTGTCACCTGCACCAGTCGTCACCTACACCACTTTTCACCTGCACCACTTGTCACCTCCACCAGTTGTCTCCTCCACCAGTTGTCACCTCCACCAGTTGTCACCTCCACCACTTGTCACCTCCACCACTTGTCACCTGCACCACTTGTCACCTGCACCCAGTTGTCACCTGCACCCAGCTGTCACCTGCATGACTTCCAAGAGCTTTGCGTGCGGAATCGTGTCATACGCTTGTGCCACGTCACACACTGCCATGTACACAGGGGGCACACGTGCCACTCTCCCACGCCACCAGTCACACAGCTGCTGATTGAAATATTGTTGCTGCTGCTTCTCCTCACACGTCCTTTCCCGCCCCTCCCCCTGTTGCTGCCCAGGGGCGCAGCAGGCAGTGTGGTGTGCGGAGTGGCGGGGCATGGCAGGCAGGCGGCCTCTCAAGCGGAGCACGTAGGCACGGTAGGGCCTGTACGCGTCACTGTACCCAAACACAGATGCCCCCAGCCTACCCTCCCTGCACTCCCTTCTCTCCCCTATGCACCCTCGCACCCCACTTCCCAGCTTTTCGCCCGCAACCCCCATTCCTCTCCCCTCGACTCCAACTTGATTCTCTTCCTCACTGCTCCTCCTCTCCTGACGCTCCTCCTTCCCCTCACTCATCAACTCCTCAATGTTCCTTCCCATTCCCATACCACTCGCAGCACTATTATCGCCATCTCTGCGGATCCTCTTTCCTCTGCTCGTGCGCCCACTCTCCTTCCTCTTTCTGCTCGCCTCCTCCCTGCTACTATCCTCCCCCTCCCCTCCCATCACCTCCTCTTGCTCTTCTCCTTCCCCACCGCACTGCTCATCCTCCCCCTGTACTTGCCTCCTCGGCTCATCCCTCGCCCCATCGCCACCCCTCTGCATCGCACTGTCGTACTGAGTGGCAATGGCACCACCACCACCACCTTCGCCTGGAACCACTCCACCCACAAGCCCCTCACATGCCATGCCATCACCACCACCACCACCACCACCACCACACCACCACCACCACCACCACCACCACCACCACCACCACCACCACCACCACCACACCACCACCACCACCACCACCACCACCACCACCACCACCACCACCACCACCACCACCACCACACCACCACCACCACCACCACCACCACCACCACCACCACCACCACCACCACCACCACCACCACCACCACCACCACCACCACCACCACCACCACCACCACCACCACCACCACCACCACCACCACCACCACCACCACCACCACCACACCACCACCACCACCACCACCACCACCACCACCACCACCACCACCACCACCACCACCACCACCACCACCACCACCACCACCACCACCACCACCACCACCACCACCACCACCACCACCACCACCACCACCACCACCACCACACCACCACCACCACCACCACCACCACACCACCACCACCACCACACCACCACCACCACCACCACCACCACCACCACCACCACCACCACCACCACCACCACCACCACCACCACCACCACCACCACCACCACCACCACCACCACCACCACCACCACCACCACCACCACCACCACCACCACCACCACCACCACCACCACCACCACCACCACCACCACCACCACCACCACCACCACCACCACCACCACCACCACCACCACCACCACCACCACCACCACCACCACCACCACCACCACCACCACCACCACCACCACCACCACCACCACCACCACCACCACCACCACCACCACCACCACCACCACCACCACCACCACCACCACCACCACCACCACCACCACCACCACACCACCACCACCACCACCACCACCACCACCACCACCACCACCACCACCACCACCACCACCACCACCACCACCACCACCACCACCACCACCACCACCACCACCACCACCACCACCACCACCACCACCACCACCACCACCACCACCACCACCACCACCACCACCACCACCACCACCACCACCACCACCACCACCACCACCACCACCACCACCACCACCACCACCACCACCACCACCACCACCACCACCACCACCACCACCACCACCACCACCACCACCACCACCACCACCACCACCACCACCACCACCACCACCACCACCACCACCACCACCACACCACCACCACCACCACCACCACCACCACCACCACCACCACCACCACCACCACCACCACCACCACCACCACCACCACCACCACCACCACCACCACACCACCACCACCACCACCACCACCACCACACCACCACCACCACCACCACCACCACCACCACCACCACCACCACCACCACCACCACCACCACCACCACCACCACCACCACCACCACCACCACCACCACCACCACCACCACCACCACCACCACCACCACCACCACCACCACCACACCACCACCACCACCACCACCACCACCACCACCACCACCACCACCACACCACCACCACCACCACCACCACCACCCACCACCACCACCACCACCACCACCACCACACCACCACCACCACCACCACCACCACCACCACCACCACACCACCACCACCACCACCACCACCACCACCACCACCACCACCACCACCACCACCACCACCACCACCACCACCACCACCACCACCACCACCACCACCACCACACCACCACCACCACCACCACCACCACCACCACCACCACCACCACCACCACCACCACCACCACCACCACCCCACCACCACCACCACCACCACCACCACCACCACCACCACCACCACCACCACCACCACCACCACCACCACCACCACCACCACCACCACCACTTTTCTCACCACCACTTCATCATTCTTCATCCTTTTCATCCCTTCATTTTTCTGCTTCCCCCCTACTTCCATTCCACCCTCGCTTTCTCTCCACCTTCAGGCACGATTGGATGCTCCTCAAACCACTGTTGATCGGCCCAAACCGCACTGTCTGCCTCCTCCTCTTTGCCTGCACCCGTCTCCGCTTGCTGTCCCCCTGCTCCCCTGGCCTCCCAGCCTGCTGCCCCACCGCCGGCAGCGGCTCTGTCAGAGTGGGTTGTTGCTCAAGATCAGGGACACGCGTGCAGGAGTCGGGAAGGGCAGAGGATATGGGCGGGGGTGCGCGAGAATGGGGCAGAGGAGGGCAGTGAAGCGGGCGATCCGGCAGTGCAGGAGGAGGAGGAGGCGCACCCATGGCAGCAGCAGCAACCCCTGGGGTGTCAGCAAGGCTGGCAGGAGAAGTTGCCGCAGTGAGAGGAGGTAGAGTCGTGACAGTTCTGCGAACAATAGGAGGTATTTGAAATGGCCTGAGATGCCTTGGCTTGAAGTTGTACGGCCGTGTGCGTGCAGCTCCTGAGCCGGCTGGCACGTGCTGAGGAGTGGCGCATGGGGAACCATCCACAGCACCACCGCCCACAGCCACCTGCCCAGCCTGCTCCTCCTCTTCAGTAGCCACAGGGGCTGCTCTGCAGCGGTCCCTCTTCTGCTGTTGACGCACCTTGGCAGCGGCCGCAGCGAGTGTGTTCTCCTGCCGAACGGTTCTCAACACGGACCCAAAAAAGCCCTCTGATTCCGATTCTGATTCCTCTGCTGCCTCGCCGTCTGCTGGGGGTAGCGTGGCAGGGCTGGCGTGTGAGTGTCGCCTCCTCCCGATGGCCTCACACGCCCCCACCACGAGCTCATTGCGCATGCGCAGTGCGTCGAGAAAGATTCTTGGAACTCCGGGCACACTCACAGGCACTTCCGACAGAAGGCCTGGGAAGGCTTTAGAGAGCTGCTGCAGCAGCTGCTGTGTGTGCTGCGAGTGCTGCTGTGGGGCCACGTGGGATAGCGAAGCGGCTGCGGTTTCTTCCCTGGTTGTTGTAGCATCAGCACGGCCAGCAGCAGCACTAGTAGTTCTAAAGGCACCTGCAGCAGCAGCAGCAGCAGCAGAGCACCATGTGATTTGGTTCTCTCTGCTCCCTGTCTCCTTCCCCACCGCTTCTCTTCCAGCCACCTCTCCGTCGTTCTCCCTCTCTACCACCGCCCACAGCGTCAGACCCACCTTGAGCACTTTGCTCCTCTCTCCCTCTCTTTCTCCCTCTCTTTCTCCCTCCCTCACTCGCTCCTACCACCCTTCTCCCCACGCGCTCACCCCTCGGCCCACACTCATCCTCGACCGCTTTCCTCTTCTTGCACCGTCGCAACCCAGACCTCCCAGGCTCGCCAGCAACACCGCCCACAGCTTCACCGCCCACAGCCATCTGCGCAGCCTGCTCCTCGTCATCGCCCCCTGGGGCTGCTCTGCAGGGGTCCCTGTGCTGCTGACGCACCTGGGCAGCTGCCCTTGCACGGGCCCTCAACGCCTTGGCAGCAGCACCGCCGCCCACAGCTTTACCGCCCACAGCCACCTGTCCAATCCGCTTCCCTTCAGCAGCCCCGTTGGCTGCTCTGCAGCGGTCCCTCTGCTGTTGAGGCACCTGGGCAGCTGCCCTTGCACGGCTCCTCAACGCCTTGGCAGCAGCGGCAGCGAGTCTGTTCTCCTGCCGAACGGTTCTCAGCACGGACCCAAAAAAGCCCCCTGATTCCTCTGATTCCGATTCCTCCCCTTCTGCCTCGCCGTCTGCAGCCTCCGCGTGTGCTGCCTTGCCATGCTCTAGAGGGCCCATGGCTGCTGCTGCCTCTGCGGGCATGCAGTCGCTGCCGCCGCCGCCGCCTGCTCGACGGTGCGTGGCACGGCTGGTTTGTGACTGTCTGCGCCTCCCGATGGCCTCACACGCCCCCACCACAAGCTCATTGCGCATGCGCAGTGCGTCAAGGAAGATCCTTGGAACCCCGGGCACACTCACAGGCACTTCCGATAATAGACCTGGGAAGGACGTGGAGTAGCGCTGCAGCAGCTGCTGTGTGTGCTGCTGTGGGGTTGTGTGCGATTGCGAGGGGGCTGCGGTTTCTTCCCTAGTTGATGTGGCATCAGCAAGGCCAGCACCGTCGGCCGCTTTCCCCATCTCGCACCGTTGCAATCCAAACCTCCCCGGCCCGCCAGCGTCAGCACTGCCAGCGTCAGCACCGCCAGCATCAGCACCGCCAGCATCAGCACCGCCAGCTGTCCCCTGCCCGTCCCGGTCGCACCCCACCGCTCGCCTGGGCTTGCTCTTGTGGGAGAGTTCCCAGAAACGGGCTGCTACACGCGGCCCAGTGGGGAGCATAGTGAAGCAGTGCAGGCAGGGCGCAGGCGGAGGCGGCACAGTCTCCCATCCACCCCCTTGCGCTTGAGTAGCGCCGGGGCCACGGCTTCGGTTTTGCTCTTCAGGATGCACTGATGCATTCTGAACGTGACCCGCATTCTGCTGCTGCTCGCTGCTCATCTGGTTCCCATTCTGCGGCTGAACGGCACGGCACGAGCACGAGCACTGAGGAGGTGTGGCGGCCATCTCCCCCACGGCAGACCTGCTTTCTTGAGAGGATTCATCTGCCTCTGAGGTGACCAGTCCCTTAACACCACTGTCCTTGTTCACCTCCCCAGTGCTCTTGATCTCCGGGTCACCAGAAAGAGCAGCAGCAGCAGGTGGAGCAGCAGAGGAGCCACAGGAATCAGTCGCACGAGCGATCTCGTTCTCCCTGCCTGCTAAGGGAATGGCCGCAACAGCAGGAGCAGGAGCAGGAGCAGGAGCAGGAGCAGGAGCAGGAGAAGGAGCAGCAGGAGGAGCAGGAGCAGCAGCAGGCGCAGCAGCAGGAGCAGCAGCAGCAGCAGCAGCAGCAGCAGCAGCAGCAGCAGCAGCAGCAGCAGCAGCAGCAGCAGCAGCAGCAGCAGCAGCAGCAGCAGCAGCAGCAGCAGCAGCAGCAGCAGCAGCAGCAGCAGCAGCAGCAGCAGCAGCAGCAGCAGCAGCAGCAGCAGCAGCAGCAGCAGCAGCAGCAGCAGCAGCAGCAGCAGCAGCAGCAGCAGCAGCAGCAGCAGCAGCAGCAGCAGCAGCAGCAGCAGCAGCAGCAGCAGCAGCAGCAGCAGCAGCAGCAGCAGCAGCAGCAGCAGCAGCAGCAGCAGCAGCAGCAGCAGCAGCAGCAGCAGCAGCAGCAGCAGCAGCAGCAGCAGCAGCAGCAGCAGCAGCAGCAGCAGCAGCAGCAGCAGCAGCAGCAGCAGCAGCAGCAGCAGCAGCAGCAGCAGGAGCAGCAGCAGCAGCAGCAGCAGCAGCAGCAGCAGGGGCAGGAGTAGCAGCAGCAGCAGCAGCAGCTGGCAAGTGCCCAGCACAACTAGGCTGCAGTGTGACTGCGTTCACCGCCCCCCTCGTTGCGCCCACACTGCTCATGGCACCCACTGCTGCCCCTGCAAGTCCCACTGCACGCCCCTCATCCTCTTCCTCGCCCTCCCTATCCCCACCTTCTCCACTCCCCTCATCCCCACCTTCCCCACTTCCCTGCCCCATGCCACCCCCACTGCCTTCTCGTTCGTCCCCCTCTCCTGGGACAGCAGCAGCAAACACTCCAAAGGCAGAACGGAACTGTGCTTCCAGCTCTGCCCTCCCTTGCATCCCCCCCATCTCCTCCTCCCCATCCTCTTCCACTTCCCATACACCTGCGCCCGTCCCATCCCGTCCCCCTCTTCTCGTCTTCTTGCGCTGCCGTTTCCTTCTGGTAGCGAGGGACACAACGCTGCTGGCGCCAAGGTTCACAATGGGGCGAACCGTCTGCGCCTTGGGCACAAACCGCACGCGCGCTACCCCCAGTGCACGCCCCTCCCCCCCGCCGCCCCCTGCCTCTCCGCCCTTGAAGCTGCTGCCTTGGCTGGCTGCAGCGGTGCGGTGGCTGGAGGCGGTGGTGCGAGGCGGGGGAGGAGCAGGCGGCGGGCAGCAGCAGGTGTGAGCTTGTGGAATGTGGCGGAGGAGGCAAGGCGCTGCAGTGCCAGGTACCTGCGCAACATAGATGGAAGGGTGCATCGTGCAAATGATGGGACAGCATCATGAGAGGAAGGGTGCACCAGTGCTGGCAGGACAGCATGCAAGGATGGTGGGTGCATGCATGGATGTGAAGGGAGGCCAGGGGTGGTCACATATAGCATGAATGTGAGAAGAGAACACAGAATGGCAGCATGGAAGATCACATGCACCGGCACAACTAGCGCATACAGTCAAGTGCAGCGACACATGGCAGGGCAGGGAAGGGCAGGGCAGGGCAGAGCAGTGCAGAGCAGAGCAGGGAAGGGCAGAGCAGAGCAGAGAAGAGCAGGGAAGGGCAGAGCAGAGCAGAGCAGAGAAGGGAAGGGCAGAGCAGAGCAGAGCAGAGCAGAGCAGAGCAGAGCAGGGCAGGCAAGGCAGAGCAGGCAAGGGAAGCAGCAGTGAGTGACCTGATGCGAGCCCACACGGGCTTGCGGTAGAAGCACACGGTGTGGCGCTGCACCTCACTCTCCGTGACATAGAAGTGGCTCCTCAGCACGGGAATGACCAGCTCTGCTAGGAGCCATTGCACCCACACGCAGCTCAGCACCCGGTGCGCCTGCGCTGCTTGCCGTGCCGCCACCCACCCACCACCGCCCTGCTCCTTCTGCTGCCCCTCACCGGCTAACCGCGCCTGTTTCGGTTGCTCCTGCTGCCCTGCCTGCTCGTCCTCTTCTCGCGTCCGCTTCTCCTCCTCATCGTCTCTCCCCTTATCCTCCTCGCGTGCCACACCTTGCTCTTCCTCTCCATCCATCCCAGACCTCCCCTGCTTTCTACCACTCCCCTCTTCTTTCTCCCTCTTGCTCCCTCCACTCCCTCCCCGTGCTTCTCCCTGCTGACCCACTCTCTCACCGCCTCCTCGCCCACTGCCCTTGATTATTGCTGCAGGCGACCAGGGGAGGCAGGCGGTGGGCAGGCGGTGCATGGCGGCGTGCAGGGGGAACTGGTCGAATCTGCGCAGCGCAACAAAGCGAACTATCAGCTGCCTCATCCGCCGCATGCTTCCCCTCCTTCCGCCCTTGCCATGCTGCTCTGCAGCAGCCTTAGAGGCAGCTTTCCCGCCCACCCCTTGTCCTCCTTGCCGCCTTTCTGCAACTGCTTCCGCAGCAGGCACAGGTTCCCTTTTTCTTCCCGCCTCCGCTTTTCCTCCCGCTTCCGCCTTTCCTCCCCTTCCCTCCTCTGCTGTTCCCCTCCCCCCTGCTCCACCCTTCTTCACCACTGTTGTGCCCTCATCTCTCCCGCGGGGCAGCAGATGGAGAGGCACGATGCTACGGATGACGGCCCATGTGAAGTTGGCTACCTGCTGCTGGCTGCTCGTGGCCTGCACCAGCACCTCCACTGGCACCTCCCTCAGGCTTGCCATGCCCTGCCCTGCCGCACTCCCACTCCCACACCCTGCTCTTTTCCTGCCGCCTGAACCCAGTATTTCAAGGGGCGTGCGCTCGCGTGAGAGTGAGGGCAAACCAGCATCAAGGGGCGCAGCAGCAGCAGCATTTACAGTTGGCATGGCAGCAGCTTCATCTTCCACCGCCGGACCAGGCGCAGCCGTAGGTGCATGAGCATAAGCATCAGGTATAGGTGGCGCTCTGGGTGTAGCAGGCACAGGTGCAGCATGTGCGTGCATGGCGGGTGGGCGGCCATTCACGTCCACTGTCGCTGGCAGCACAGCATGTACAGGTGCACTGGCATCACCTGTGGCGACAGCACCATTGCGAGGCGCTTCAATGGAACTACTGCCACTCGCTGCTGCTGCTGCCGCTGCCGCTGCTGCTGCTGCTGCTGCTACAGCCTCAGCAGCAACAGCCGGCACCGGCACAGCCCCACCATCTGATCCTGTCACCACCTCACGCGCACTGCCTGAACCGACAGCAGCACTGCACGTTGCTTTAGCAGGAGAAGCCGCCCCAGCAGCAGCAGCATCCGCAGCAGCGGCCTGTACAGGCGCGGCAGCAGCAAGAGGGGCTGGAGCGGCGGCAGCAGGGAGAGGGCAGTGCTTGGCGAGCAGGCGGGAGAAGTTGCATGCACGGGCACGGCGGAGCATGGAGTGCAGCAGGGCGAGAAGAGCAGGCGAAGGCAGGGCGTTGAGCAGGTGAGTGGCGAGCCCGCGGACTGGCCCCTGCTGCTGCTGTGCGCGTGCAGGTGCTGCTGCTGCGCGGTCCAGGGGTTGATGGAAGATGTGTTGGTACAGCTGCCCTGCGCCCTCTCTCGTGGCGGGAAGGCGGTTGAGAATGTCTGGGAGGAGCAGGAGGAGGGAAGGGGGGAACGGAGAGAAGGGATAGATAAGAGTACATATGTGAGAGAGAGGGCTGATGGGACGGATTTACATGGCCAAAGAGAGGTGGTGGCAGGTGATGGCGGATTGGGGTGGGCAGCATACATTCTTAGATGCGCACACCATGCAATCCACATGCCAAACTGTCAAACTGCCAAGCTTCCATCACATGAACCCCAGCTCAACTGTGCACCAAACAGCCTGGCCTCGCCTCCTTCTCTGAGCTGTGCTGCAGTGCGCAGGCTTACGCGACTTGGGCAGGCCTGGGTGCAGAGAAAAGCTGGAGCAGTAGAAGAGCGACGAGCGGGGCACAAGCTGCCGCTGCACGCCTGCCAGCAGGGAGGTGCCGTGGGGTGCGGGGAGCACAGCCACTGGTGGTAATGAAGGCGAGGCGCCATGCCGGTGATGCTGGGAAGGATGCTGGCGATTAGTCCTCCCATCCACATCTGCACCGCCCGCTTCCCCTTCGTCGCCGTCCCTACAGTCACTGCTCGCTTGCTTGCGTGCATCCCCGTCCCCTTGAGTGTCAACCACCCCACGCTCTTCAACTGCCATGTCACAGCCTGCAAGCAGCCAAGGCATGCGCACAGGGTGGGAAGAAAAGGCATGAGGACAGCGATGAGTGAGGCTTGCTGAAGTGTGCAAGCAAGCAAGCACTGCACCTATCCCTTGCACTGGAGCACGAGGAGAAAGGGAGCAGAGCACTGCAGGGGCAGGTAATCACAGCTGCACAGTCGCAAGTCAAAAGAGCAGACAAGCGCATGAGCGAGAGCCACCATCTCGAGGTATTCTTTGAGTCGACTCTAGAGTCACCTCAGTTGCATTACATGATCGCAGGTTCCAAGAGCTGACAAGCGCATAAGTGAGTGAAAGCCACCATCTCCTCGCAGCACCCTGCACTGCACCCTGTCAGAATCACCATCTCACTTCACTTCACCTCACCTCACCTCACCTCTCGTATCCGCTCCCCCCCTACCACCCACCTCCTCTCTCCTTTATCTCACCTGCCTTTCCCTGTCGCTTCTCCTCCTCCTCCTCCTCCACCTCCACCACCACACCTCCCTCCAGAGCGCCCTCTGTCCTGTGCTGCCCGTTCTCTCCGTCCTTATCGCCCTTGCCTTTCATCCCTTGACCCCTGCCACGAGCAGCTGCTTCTCTCCCTGCATCTGCATCTACGCACCCTCCACCATCTGCCCCCTCCCTTTTGTTCCCCTCTCCTCCTTCCCCCCTCCCCCGCCCACGACCACGCCCACCTTCCCCTCCCTTTCTTCGTCCCGCACTCATTTGCACCTTCCGGCCGCCCCTATTCCTCTTCCCCCTCTTTCTCTTCTTCTCCCCACCCACGTTAGCCCCATCTGCTGAACCATCTCCCACCTGCCCCTCCCTGTCACCGCCGGCCTCTGCTTGCTCTGCGTCTCGCTCAGCCCCCCCTGCACCAGCCACCTCCTTGGGCCTCCCATAAAGCCCCTCACCCGCACCTCTTTCTGCACGCCTGATCTCCTCATCTTTGGGCCCATCCCCACCTCTCTCACCGTCTCCTCTTTCTCCAACTGACCCATCTGCCCCCGCCCAACCCTCCACCCTCATCCTTCCCTCCCCTCCACGCCCTTCCACAGTCTTTCCCCCTGTACTGCTCATCACCTCCCTTCCCGTCGCCATATCCCCCGCGCGGCCTTGTTCTTCATACACATGCGCATCGCCACTCCACAAATGCACACCCCTGCTGCCGTCCTTGCTCCTCCCAGCACCCCTTCTGCCTCTCCCTCTCTGTTGCAACACGCCGTGCACATCACTGCCACGGAAGTTCCCACCACCAGCGCCTCCTACCACACGTGACACCACACGGCGCGTGTGCGAGCGCACACATGCTGCTGGCGGCTGGGCGTGCGCGGTGCCACCAGCAGGGGAGCGGCATGGAGGGTGGGAGTGGGACGATGCAGGAGGGAGCAGGCGGGTGAAGGTGGAGCAGCGCGATTGCAGTGCATGGTTGGAGACAGGCGGACCTGCCACTTGGACGAATGAGGAGGCGCCAAGTGGCACAAAGATGGAGGCATGCGAGAGCAGATGGACCATTGCTGGCACGCCCACCTGCACGGACGAGAAGTGGGGGTGACCATGGGGGGGAGGGGAGGAGCACGGACGGAGAAGCACGAGGGTGAAAAAGCCACGTGATAGAAGAAGTGTTTTGAGGCGTCTCAAAGGACGCTCATCTGCACGGACGGACGGCGTGGGTGTATTCATGGGGTGGGGTTAGGGAGGAGGAGCGCAGAGAAGCACCAGAGTGAAGAAGCGGGAGGAGAGGGTGGTGAGTGAGAGGAGTGGTTGAATGAATGAGTCCACAAGAGCGACTGCAGTGCAGCTCGAGCGTCAGCGTCACAACGACACGCAGACGAGGCGCGTGCACGCATGCACACGGCGAGGAGGCATGGGGCAGTCAGGCACGCACGCACGCGTGGTGAGCACCTTGTTTAGTAGGTGCTGCCAGGGGGGCGATGTGACGACTTCCCACGCCGTGTTGTGCGGGAGAGGCGAGGTCACAGGAGATTCAAGTGCGATGGGCTTGGGTGGGTTGGAGGCGGAGGAGGAGGAGGGATGGGAGAGGGTGTTGTCTGCTGCCATGGGCGAGAGTGAGTGCGTGGGAATGTGGTTGTGCTGCAGGCCGGGCAGGCATGGCGGCGCTGTGGCCCACTGGAGCTCGCTGTGTGGCGACGTGAAGGGCATAGCCTGCCGTGCACGCAGGTGACAAACACGAGGAGGTGTGGTCCGTGCAGGCACAGCGCAGCACGGCACGGCAGGGCAGGGCATTGGAGGGGCAGCACAGCACAGCACAGCACACAGGAAGGTGACACGTGAGGGGGGAAATGAGAGAGGGAAGAACGAAAATGTGATACGGATAGACGTGCGGAGGAGTGAGGAGAGCCGAGCCCACCCACCAATCGGCCTCTCCTCACCCGCCTGAATCCAGCTGCCAAAACGTTTCCTTGGAGAGCGCGCTCATGCTCATCCGCCTCCGTTCCATGGCCCCGCCGCCCATGCATGCCCGCCCTGCCTGCACGGCCCCTGCCAGCTCCCCTTGCGCCATGCCTCGCTGCCACGCCCTTTGATCCACGCCCGCCCGAGCCTTGAGGCAGTGCAGCAGAGCGCCTGAAGTGCCGCAGCACAACGCGTGTCACTACCTGATATGCAGAGGAGGGCGGAGAGCAGACGCTCGCTTAGGTGGAAACGAGAGAGCGTTGGTGAAACTCGTGAATGTCTTCTTCTTCCTAGATTGAGTGAAGCGTAGCTTCTTTCAGGTCATTTGCTTGAGAAGCTGCCAACAGCAAGTTCATGCAACTGTGCTGTGCTCTGCAGGACAGGAAAAAGCTCCCATCGCAGGCACACCTTAGCCACGACATGTCACCCCACCCCACTAACGGGTGTGTGCCAGCCTTTTTCCGCATCCAAGCCATGCAACGCCATGCCCATGTATGCCTGCCAAGCCATGGCAATCCATTCCAATCCATGACAATCCATTCCAATCCATGCCAATCCATTCCAATCCATGCCAATCCGTGCCAAGCCATGCCAAGCCATGCCAAGCCATGGCATGGCAACCGATGGCAGCGCACCTCCTCTTGCGTCCACCGCACGCCACCACGCCCTCCCTGCTCGCCATTCTCGCCACCACCACCACCACGTGCCTGCTCTTGCCCCCTCCCCACCTCTCCCCCCTGCAGCAGCAGTGCATGGAGTGCAGTGCAGTGCTCCTCAGGCATCCACGCCAGGGCCTCCCTCACCACGCTCTCCACTGCCTCATCCTCCTCCTCCTTTGCCGCTCCTCCTGCCGCCCATCCCCCTCTCCCTCGCGCATTGTTGCCGGTGGCACCACCTGTGTGCACCTGCCGCTTTCGCGGGGCTCCCGTGTGTTCACACTCGCCACACTCGCCACACTCGCCACACTCGCCACACTCGCCCTTGCATGTCTCCTCCACACATCTTCTTCGTTCCCCTTCGTCTCCGCACGTGTCTCCTGCTCTCCCCTCCCCTTCTCCCCCTTGTGCGCCGCGATTTGCCCTGCCTTTGGGTGTGGAAGCGTCACCCCCCTGGGCGAGCGATGGGAATTGGAGCACATGTGCGAGGGGCGCTATGCCGGGGTACAGACGCTGCAGCACCCGCACACCCACCGCCCCGCCTGCTGCCGCCCCACATGCTGCCGCTGCAGCAGCTGCTGCTGCTGCTCCCGCTTCCTCGCTACCTGCGCGCCCTGCTGCACCCCCTCCGCCTGTCTCGGCCCACCCGCCACTGTCACTGCCTCGCCCCTCACCCCGTGCGTCGCATTCCATGCGGCGTACCACGCGGTGCCTTCTTCCTCTGCTAATTACGCGGCCGCCGTCTTTGCAAGCTGCCACCACTACAGCGCCACTGCTACCTTTTCAACTTCCACACACACCCAACAGTCCTGGCGCCGGCAGCAGCAGCAGCAGCAGCAGCAGCAGCGGAACTCACTGCCCTCGCGCCCTCCCCGGCATCAGCATGGCTGCACGTCGCTAAGGCAACGGCGTGCGCGCCCTTATCGCCGCCGCATTGCACGCCGCGTGGAGACCTCGCCACGCACACCTGCTCGCGTCGCATGCCCACCCTATTCCTACCTCCGTCTCCCCCCGGCCGGCCGGCCGTCACAATGAACAAGATCATCCCACATCGCTGAAAATACTACCATGCGCAGGTATCCCACAAAATTCGTTTGGTTATGCTCTCCACAATGCGAGATGAATGCCCGCCAACAGAGAGGATACTGTATGTGCTATGTTCACAAAGTACGGATCAACACGTTTGCAACCCCTTCTTCAAGCAAAATTATCCTCGCTAAAGTGCCCGACAAGAACGATACAGTTCTAACGGTATAAGTGTTTTATATATATGGCAGCATGCTCATCCCACAACAGCATTCGTATGAGATTCAGGCCGTCCAAATCTAGAAGCATTACCGCTAAAATTACCTTTGAACCGAATTACACCCCGCCTCTTCCTCTTCGCCATCTTCGATCACCCGCAACAATTCCAATTCCATTTTGGTCATCAATCGGGTCTACAACACAGAGCACAGCACGGAGACACTACAGCAGAGCTACAATGCGCCGTCGACCATCTCTTCGTGATTTCTTCCCTCGCTACCTCTCTCGTGCTCCTCTCTCGACTCGTGATTCCGCCGATCCGTGATTGCCGCACCTTGTCCCCCAGTTTACGACACTTTCGCACCCAGCTGTCGCGCATCTCAATCTCGGCCTCACCGCGCAGCAATCTGCGTCTCTCCCCACACGCTTGTCGCCCGATCTCGCGCCGATCGCTGGCCGTCGCAGCACCCGTCGCAGGAGGGGCGCGACTGCCGGTTCCCCACCCGCAGATTGGATACCTTGGCGGGCTCTTTCGGCGGTGAACGCAGATGCCACTGCGAGTGATTTCCGTGGCAGGAGCACCCGTGAATATGCCAGGCTGTCCCGCTGCCTTGAAGCGGGGCTCTAGCGGCGCTTTTAGATAGTCGCTTCGGCAGGGAGAGAGCGAGGAGGAGTGGCGGGTATGGCGGCGTTGTCACTTCACGGCGCGGGGACTGGTGGCAGAACCCCCTAGCACAGGCGCCTAGCTTGGCAAGACTCTGAGTCTCGCTGCCGCACGCCTCTTGCTGCCCCGCCCTTCCGTTCTCGCACACACCCTCCCTCGCCCTCCCACGCACCCAGTCTCGCCCTCCCATCCCGGCCCTCACTCGTCTTCCCCTCCTCACCCCCCTCCCCCCCACTCACTCCTCCCGGTTTCTTCCCTTTCCCTCTCCCCCTTCCCCGGCCCCCCTTCCTCCTCTCCTCTCTCGCTCTCCCCACTCACACGGGCGCTCCTCGCGCCACCGCCATGGGCGCAACGTCCCCAGGCGCGCCCCCCGCGCCGGCCACAGGGCGCGCGGTGCTGAGCGAGCGCGTGGTGGGGCACCGCATGGCGCTGCAGCGCGGCGAGCACATCCGCTGCCTCGCCGCGCTCGCCCTCCCCACACCCCTCCCCGCGCCCTCACGCACGCCCAGTGCCCCGGATCTGCCGCCAGACGCCGCTGTGCAGAGCAGCGCTGCGCCCATCGCGTTTGCCACGAGCAGGCTCAACAGCAGCAGCGGCTCTGGCAGCAGCGCCAACAGTAACGACAGCGGTGGCAGCGGCAGCAGTGGCGGTGTGCGTATGAGCAGCAGCGTGTTCGTGGGCACATCAGCAGGCCGTGTGCTGCACCTCTCGCTCTCCCACCCACACACCACTCAACCCAACCAGCCTGGAGCACCTGCAGCAGCAGAGCCTGCGTCCGCATCTGCGCACACAGGTACCAGCAGCAGCGATCCTGCAACAGCAGCAGCAGCGGCAGGTGCTGTGTCTGCTGCTGGTGGTGGCAGCAGCGCTTCAGCGTGGGGCTGGTTGACAGCAGGTCGTATGAGCTCTGCTTCTGCTTCTACCGCATCTGCTGCTGCGGCTGGGGATGGCTCTTCTGCTGCTGGCAGCCGTCCTGGTAGTGCGGGGGGCGCGGGGTCTACAGGTGGGGTGGGAGCAGGGGGGAGTGAGGGCAGGGGTCCCGAGTTGAGAGTGCAAGGCGTGTGCGTGGTGGGGAGGAGAGCAGTGGAGCGAGTGGAAGTGCTACACACTGGCATGGGAGGGGGGCTGCTAGCTGTGCTGTGTGATGGGGGCGTGCGTCTCCTCCACCCCCTCTCCCTCTCCCTCGGCCCACCTGTAGGCCCTGCCTCCGGCACCCTGCTCCTGGCCTCGCACCCTCTACCGTCCCCCACTCCCGTTCCATCCTCCTCCTCTGTACTCTCCTCCTCAACTCTCCTCTCTTCCTCCTCTGCCCTCTCCGCCTCCTCCTCCCCCGCCTCCCTCCCCTCCGCGCCTCTCCTCCTGGTCCTGCGCAGAAAGCTCCTCATCTTTACCATCTCCTCCTCCGCCCCTTTCTCCCCCACTCCCACGCCTCTCTGGGACGCGCTCTCCATCCGCCTGCAAGGGGAGATGCTTATAAAGGGTATAGGCGAGCGGGAGGTCCCTCTAGCAGCAGCATACCTGGGGTCCTCAGTCATCCTAGGCACATCACAGCAGTACCTGCATGTGTCCATCCCTTCAGGCGATCCCTTACAGCTCTTTCCCCTGCCGCCCTCCTCTCCCAACCCCCCTCTCATCGCTGCTGTGTCGCTCGCGTGCAATGCTTCTGGGGTGTCTTCTCCACGAGAGAGAAAGGTTGCTCCTGATGATGAGGGGGGGTTGGCTTCAAGAGCACGTGCCCAGGCACGTGGAGGGCAGGTTGAAGGGGCACAAGCAGCAGGAGCCGGGGCAGGGGCAGGGGCAGCGAGAGGTGTAGTAGCTGAACAGGGCGGTTGGGGCATGCAGCAGGGAGGGCTGCAAAGAAACAGTGTGGTTGTGGGGGTCACATCAGATTCAAGAGCACACACACAAGACACAGCACACACAGCACTACCACCTCCAGCAGAGGCAGCAGCACCAGCAGCGGCGGGAGAGACAGGCGTAACAGCAGCAGCAGCAGCAGCAGCAGCAGCAGCAGCTGCAGAAGCAGGAGGAGAAATAAGCAGTGGTTCTGCCATGGGTGCCGCAGATGGCCAACCTAGCATGCAATCCCAGGAGTCAGCAGCAGTTCTAGCAATGGACGACATAGGAGTGGTCATAGACACCACAGGCCAGCCCAGAGGCAACCCCCTCATCTTCCCCTCGCCTCCCATCGCCCTCACCTTCGCCCCTCCCCACGTCGCCACCGCTCTCCACCACTCCCTACACCTCTTCGACCCGGCCACAGGCACGCTCCTGCAGACGCTCCCGGTGCCGGGAGGGGCGGGGACAGCTGGCAGGAGCCCATTGGTGGCGTTGGCGGCGGAGAGGGGAGGGGGAGGGGGGGCGGTGGTGGCGGCAAGTGGGAGTGAGGTGTGGTGGGTGCCACGGCTGTCGCTGGTGCAGCAGGCGAGGGAGCTGATGAGGGAGAAGCGGTATGGGGAGGCGCTGGAGGTGGCACGGGGGGTGGATGTGGGAGAGGAGATGGAGAGGGGGGAGTGGGGGGAGATTAGGCCAGGGATGGTGCAGAGCCGAACACAGAGAGAACAGATGCTGCTGCTGGCGATGCTGGTGCTGGCGCAGATGCGGGTGCTGGCGCTGGCGCTGGTGATGCTGCTGGTAGTCCTGCTGTTGCGGCTGCTGCTAAAGGGGTGGTCCCTCCCATGACCTCTGCGCTAGCGCCAGGGAGTAAGAGCGTGTCGATACACGGGGCGTGGAGGAGGAGAGTAGCAGAAGCGCATGCACAGGTGGGGCTGTTGCTGCTGTGGGATGGGGACTTCAAAGCAGCCGTGCCGCACCTCCTTGCAGCACGAGGGGGGGTCTTCCAGCCTGCCGAGATCTTTGCGCTCTTCCCCCACTTGACTGCCAGGTGGCGATCGCTGGTTGGTCGCTCGTCCCTTATCCCTCGTCCCCTATCCTCTTCCATTCTTCGTCCTCTGTTCCTCCTTTTCTACTTTGTCACTCTTATCGAGTCTCCGCCTTCCGCTAGTTCTGTCTCTTGATGCTCATGGGGCTTGCCACACATTGTCCCCTCTCCCCTCCCCCCTGTTCCTGCTCCCTGGCCCCTTGTTCTCTCTTCTCTCCTGTCACCTATCCTCATTACCTTATCCCCCATTCCTTTTCCCACCTCACGTTGTTTCAATAAAAAGAACCATCTCTCTTGCTCACCCCTACCCGTTCCCTTTCCTTGTCCACTCCCCCGTTGCCAGATCCCCCGGGCCTGTTTTTGAGGCGACTCAAAAACGTTCCCTCTCCTTGTCCATGCCTCTCCCCATCAGATCCCCCGGGCTCGCTTCTGGGGTCTGCACGCACTGACTCTTGTGTCCACCCCAAAACCATCTCTCCTTGTTCCCTCACCTACCCGCGTTCCCTCTCCTTGTCCATGCTTCCCTTTCCCTCCATCAGATCCCCCGGGCTCGCTTCTGGGGTCTGCACGCGCCTCTCTCTGCCCTGCACGACCGCCTGCTCTGCTGCTGCTTCCCCGCACCCTCTGCCGCTCCGCACCACCGCCCCCACCATCACCCCAACTCCTCTTTAACTCCATCCGCCTCCCTTCCTGCAGCAGTAGCATCACCATCAGCAGCAGCAGCAGCTGCTGCAGCAGCAGCAGCAGCAGCAGCAGCAGCGGCAGGGAGGGAGGCGTTTACAGGAGCCCGGCCAGGCTCGTCTGGGGGAGGTGCAAGTGCATCTGTAGGGAGTGGGAGGGAGGCGGGGGAACAGCGGGTGCAGCAGCAGCGGCGGCAGGAGGATGCTCGGAGGCAGTGCCAAGAAGGTGTGGTGAGGTAGGTGGCCACGCATGCATGCACGGCTTTATGGGCTTCCAAGCAGGGAGGTTGATAGATGGTCAGATGAAACGCAACAATATTGGCACTGCATTGGTGGTGCATACCCTTTGACATCCATGCCCCTTGACATCCGTGGCTCCTTTTGAGTCAACTCAAAAACATCCATGCCCCTTGACATCCGTGGCTCCTCCCCCCCTGTACTAAACAAATCGTTTCGTCACAGCCACATGTGTTTCCCTCCCTCCCTCCGCCCCTTTCTTCCATTACCCGTCACCACTCCTCTGGTTTACGCCCAGCTATCTGCTGGCAGTGCGGCAGCAGTGGCGGCACTACTGTGTGTCGGAGCAGGAGCAGCAGGGGGTGGACTCGTTGCTGCTGCACCTGCTGCTCGCCCTGCACGATGCCCCCCGCCTGCTCATGCTCTGCCTGCCCACCGCATACAACCGCTGCTACCTCGTATGCCACCCACCCACCCACCACACGCCTCTGATTTTTAGCTCACCTTCTATGGGTTCTTGTGTTGAAGTGGTCAAATGAACACCTCTAATGTCACGCAACTCCTCTGCTTGCCCTCTGCCTCCCTCCACTCCCTCCCTCCCCACCTCCCTCCCTCCCCACCTCCCTCCCTCCCTCCCTCCCTCCCTCCCTCCCTCCCTCCCTCCCTCCCTCCCTCCCTCCCTCCCTCCCTCCCTCCCTCCCTCCCTCCCTCCCTCTCTCCTCCCTCCCTCTCTCCTCCCTCCCTCTCTCCTCCCTCCCTCTCTCCTCCCTCCCTCTCTCCCTCCTTCACTGGTCTTGTCTCGCACATTCTTTGCAATAAGTCTCAAACCACCCGCCCCCTTTTTCCCTCCCTCTCTCTTGGCGCACCCAGCCGGACGTTGAGGGAGCCCTTTTGCGCACACACCTCTCCCCCCCCTCGCCTACCTCTGGGGCAGCTCAAAAAAATCCCCTTTCCCTCTTCCCCACCCCTCTCTTCCTCTGCCCAACCCAGCCAGACGTTGAGGGGGCTCTCCTGCGCGCGCACCTCTTTCCTCCTCCGCCTATCTTTGAGGCCTCTTGGAAATCTGCGCCTTCCCCTATTCCCCCCCTTCGTGCTCCGCCCACTCCAGCCGGACGTGGAGGGGGCCCTCCTGCGCGCACACCTCTTTCCCCCCCTCGCCTACCTGCGCTGGCAACGGGGGGACGCCGAGGGCGCTCTGGCGCTCTGGCGGGGGCTCGCACTGGGGGAGCTGCAGGGGGAAGCGGGGGAGGAGGCTGGGGGGGAGCGGGGGCTGTGGGGAGGGGAGTAAAAGGGGGGCTGGGTGGGGTGCAGCGGCAGGCGGTGGAGGAAGCAGTGGCGATTCTCGCAGTGGTGGAGGATGCTCGCCTCGTGCTACGCCACCTGCCGTGGGTGAGTGTACTTTTGAAACGTCTCAACAGGCGACTTTTGAGGCGCCTCAGAAGTTGCAATGGGGGGAGTGTGCTTTTGGGGTGCTGCGGCAGGCAGTAGAGGAGGCAGTGGCGATTCTAGCAGTGGTGAACGACCCTTACCTCGTGCTGCGCCACCTGCCGTGGGTATGTGGGCGTGAGCATGCATGGGCATGGGTGCATGAGTGCATGCGTGTGTGCGTGGGTGTTGGTGAGTGAGTGTGTGTGGGTGGGTGGGTGGGGGTGTGGTTGGGGCGTGGTTGGGGTGTGAGGGTGCATGTGTGTGTGCATGTGTGTGTGCATGTGTGCATGTGTGCGTTCGTGCCACCTTGCCTATTGCACTTGTATCGACCTCTCTCATCTTTTCATCGATCTTTAATTGCACGCATCACCATCCCACGCACACATCAGCATGCACATCACAGCGACCCGTGCCTGGCATGCTCATGCATGATCCACCAGTTCCTGTGACGTCCGCCATATGCTGCCTCATGCACCCTAAACTGCATGGTACCACGCATCACATCGGCACTGCATGCTGCTGCCACCACCACCACCACTACCACCACATGTGTGCATGGCATGATACCAGGTGTTGCAGCTGAGCCCATCCAGAGCTCTTTCCGTGCTCACTGCTGCTCGCCCCCCCTCGGCCTCCCTGCCAGTTGGTCAGCATCCCCTCTTACCCGTCTCCGCTTTTCACACCCCCTGCACCTCCTTTCTCACATCTTCATTTCATGTCTCTGTCCAAGTACGAGTAAGCCGTTCATTGGTTGTCACTCACTCTCACTAGTGCCTTCACTCCCTTCCCTCCTCTCTTCCACCTTCTATGAAACTGCACGCTGCAGCTGTCACACCACCACTCCGACTTTTGAGTCGACTCAAAGCTCACATTCCATAAATTTTCATGTTTTTCGCTGCAGCTGTTACACCACCACTCCGCTCCAGCAGTCTGATGCCGTCCCATACTGTCCCATGCCGTCTCATCCCCTCGCACATCATCTCGTCCCATGCATGTGTGCGTGCCCACACCATCAGACGAGGCACTGGAAGCCATATCAGCTGCAGGCCTGGATCGACTCGTCAAGTGGAGGTCAGCCCTCTGCCCTTCCACCAACCCATTCACCACTCCCTCCCTCCCACCACCCATGTGTCATGTGACATGCGCCATGTGCCATGTGCCATGTGTCATGCCCTTCCGCCATACGTCCTTGTCAATGTTCCTCTCATCATGTGACGCTGCTGTTGCACACGCCAATCGCCCCCTCCTCACCCCACCACCCCCACACACAGGTACCTGCAGTGGCTGGTGGAACAATAGGCCAGTGACAGCAAGCTTTCGTAGTTGACTCAAAATGACTTCTGAATCGACTCAAACGTCCCAACCACCCCTCTCCCCACCACCCCCACTGACAGCAAGCATTTATGGTTGGCTCCTAATGACTTCTGAGTCGACTCAAAAGTTCCCTCCTTCCCCTCCACACCCCCTCCCCCCCTCCCAAACCCACGCACAGGTACCTGCAGTGGCTGGTGGAAGAACAGGCCAGTGACAGCAAGCACCACCACACACTCTACACACTCGCTCTTGTTGATACCGCCGCTGCCGCTGCCGCTGCCGCTGCCACTGCCGCTGCCGCTGCCGCTGCTGCAGGGACTGAGAGCGATAAAGCACGGACGGAGAATGGCCCAAGGGAGAGTTCAGTTGCACGTGGGAAGGAAGAACGGCAGGGGCATCTGGATGGATGGGACGACAGGACGAGGGGAGCAGGGGATACAGCAGCAGTGCTGGCAGCAGAACAGAGTGACGGGGCGAACGAGGAAGAAAGCCAAAGAGAGCGGGACGAGGAAGGGGAAGGGTGGGGACTGGAGGGGTATTCAGAGGAGGCATCATTGGCAGGGTTGTGGCGGCGGTTGCGGGGAGTGCTGGGGGCATTTCTGGAGTCATCAGAGCTGTATGATGGCAGCGCTGTGTGGCGGAGAATACAGGGCGAGCATTCACTGCTGAGAGAACAGGTGGGTGCCTATGCCTGCTGATGTACGTACTTTTGAGGCGCCTCAAAAGAGGAGTGCTGGGGGCTTTCCTGCAGTCATCAGAAGCTGTATGATGGCAGCGCTGTGTGGCGGAGAATACAGGGCGAGCATGCACTGCTGAGAGAACAGGTGGGTGCCTATGCCTGCTGATGTACGTACTTTTGAGGCGCCTCAAAAGAGGAGTGCTGGGGGCTTTCCTGCAGTCATCAGAAGCTGTATGATGGCAGCGCTGTGTGGCGGAGAATACAGGGCGAGCATGCACTGCTGAGAGAACAGGTGGGTGCCTATGCCTGCTGATGTACGTACTTTTGAGGCGCCTCAAAAGAGGAGTGCTGGGGGCTTTCCTGCAGTCATCAGAAGCTGTATGATGGCAGCGCTGTGTGGCGGAGAATACAGGGCGAGCATGCACTGCTGAGAGAACAGGTGGGTGCCTATGCCTGCTGATGTACGTACTTCTGAGGCGCCTCAAAAGAGGAGTGCTGGGGGCTTTCCTGCAGTCATCAGAAGCTGTATGATGGCAGCGCTGTGTGGCGGAGAATACAGGGCGAGCATGCACTGCTGAGAGAACAGGTGGGTGCCTATGCCTGCTGATGTACGTACTTTTGAGGCGCCTCAAAAGAGGAGTGCTGGGGGCTTTCCTGCAGTCATCAGAAGCTGTATGATGGCAGCGCTGTGTGGCGGAGAATACAGGGCGAGCATGCACTGCTGAGAGAACAGGTGGGTGCCTATGCCTGCTGATGTACGTACTTTTGAGGCGCCTCAAAAGAGGAGTGCTGGGGGCTTTCCTGCAGTCATCAGAAGCTGTATGATGGCAGCGCTGTGTGGCGGAGAATACAGGGCGAGCATGCACTGCTGAGAGAACAGGTGGGTGCCTATGCCTGCTGATGTACGTACTTTTGAGGCGCCTCAAAAGAGGAGTGCTGGGGGCTTTCCTGCAGTCATCAGAAGCTGTATGATGGCAGCGCTGTGTGGCGGAGAATACAGGGCGAGCATGCACTGCTGAGAGAACAGGTGGGTGCCTATGCCTGCTGATGTACGTACTTTTGAGGCGCCTCAAAAGAGGAGTGCTGGGGGCTTTCCTGCAGTCATCAGAAGCTGTATGATGGCAGCGCTGTGTGGCGGAGAATACAGGGCGAGCATGCACTGCTGAGAGAACAGGTGGGTGCCTATGCCTGCTGATGTACGTACTTTTGAGGCGCCTCAAAAGAGGAGTGCTGGGGGCTTTCCTGCAGTCATCAGAAGCTGTATGATGGCAGCGCTGTGTGGCGGAGAATACAGGGCGAGCATGCACTGCTGAGAGAACAGGTGGGTGCCTATGCCTGCTGATGTACGTACTTTTGAGGCGCCTCAAAAGAGGAGTGCTGGGGGCTTTCCTGCAGTCATCAGAAGCTGTATGATGGCAGCGCTGTGTGGCGGAGAATACAGGGCGAGCATGCACTGCTGAGAGAACAGGTGGGTGCCTATGCCTGCTGATGTACGTACTTTTGAGGCGCCTCAAAAGAGGAGTGCTGGGGGCTTTCCTGCAGTCATCAGAAGCTGTATGATGGCAGCGCTGTGTGGCGGAGAATACAGGGCGAGCATGCACTGCTGAGAGAACAGGTGGGTGCCTATGCCTGCTGATGTACGTACTTTTGAGGCGCCTCAAAAGAGGAGTGCTGGGGGCTTTCCTGCAGTCATCAGAAGCTGTATGATGGCAGCGCTGTGTGGCGGAGAATACAGGGCGAGCATGCACTGCTGAGAGAACAGGTGGGTGCCTATGCCTGCTGATGTACGTACTTTTGAGGCGCCTCAAAAGAGGAGTGCTGGGGGCTTTCCTGCAGTCATCAGAAGCTGTATGATGGCAGCGCTGTGTGGCGGAGAATACAGGGCGAGCATGCACTGCTGAGAGAACAGGTGGGTGCCTATGCCTGCTGATGTACGTACTTTTGAGGCGCCTCAAAAGAGGAGTGCTGGGGGCTTTCCTGCAGTCATCAGAAGCTGTATGATGGCAGCGCTGTGTGGCGGAGAATACAGGGCGAGCATGCACTGCTGAGAGAACAGGTGGGTGCCTATGCCTGCTGATGTACGTACTTTTGAGGCGCCTCAAAAGAGGAGTGCTGGGGGCTTTCCTGCAGTCATCAGAAGCTGTATGATGGCAGCGCTGTGTGGCGGAGAATACAGGGCGAGCATGCACTGCTGAGAGAACAGGTGGGTGCCTGTGCCTGCTGATGTACGTACTTTTGAGGCGCCTCAAAAGAGGAGTGCTGGGGGCTTTCCTGCAGTCATCAGAAGCTGTATGATGGCAGCGCTGTGTGGCGGAGAATACAGGGCGAGCATGCACTGCTGAGAGAACAGGTGGGTGCCTGTGCCTGCTGATGTACGTACTTTTGAGGCGCCTCAAAAGAGGAGTGCTGGGGGCTTTCCTGCAGTCATCAGAAGCTGTATGATGGCAGCGCTGTGTGGCGGAGAATACAGGGCGAGCATGCACTGCTGAGAGAACAGGTGGGTGCCTATGCCTGCTGATGTACGTACTTTTGAGGCGCCTCAAAAGAGGAGTGCTGGGGGCTTTCCTGCAGTCATCAGAAGCTGTATGATGGCAGCGCTGTGTGGCGGAGAATACAGGGCGAGCATGCACTGCTGAGAGAACAGGTGGGTGCCTGTGCCTGCTGATGCCCATGGGTGTGTGTATGATCAAGTGTATGTATGGCCAGCTGTGGGCAGCATTGGGCAGCTTTGTGCTGTGCAGCTTCTGGCGCATACAGCGTGAAAAGCAGCTCTGTATTGCCATGCTACCTCCTCCATTATTTATTCCGGCTCACCGAGCCATGACATACACGTGTATCACATGATGTGGCTTCTTCATTCCCCCCGCACACCCGACGTCACCAGGTGGTTGTGTTGAGGCGACTGGGGGACCACACAGCCGCCCTGCGCATTCTTGCTCTGTGAGCGTTCTTTACCTTGCATCCTCTCCTCTCCTCTCCTCTCCTCTCCTCTCCTCTCCTCTCCTCTCCTCTCCTCTCCTCTCCTCTCCTCTCCTCTGCTCCTCCTCCTTTCTTGTAATCCTCCTCTCCCTCTCGTCATTTCCTCCTCTTTCCTTTCCTTGCTAATGCAACTTGTCACTCAACTATTTTGCGCACCTTCCCTACACACTCCAACCTCGAAACCCCAAACCCCATTTTCTAAACCCCTAAACACCAGAGAGTTGAAGGACAGTGAGGCAGCAGAGGCGTACTGTCTACACCTCAACGACCCCCACGCCTTTGACCAGTCAGTGATCCCTCCCTCTCGCCCTCCTTCTCTCCTCCTGCCTTCTACCCACCGCTCTGCATCCCTCCACTACTGCACAAATCACTCGCGAGTGCATCCATCCTCCCATGGCATTCCTACGTGCTTCTGCGTTCTATCAGTGGGTGTGGGTACACGTGTGCATGGAGCATGGCACGTCTGCCACACCTGGCCGCTGCTGGCAGTGTGTTGTGTTGAATTGCAATCCACCCTGTGTCAGCCGTTGGGTCTCCTTGCTCCTCTCCTTAGGCCTTCACATCTCACCCCACTCCCTCTCACCTCATTCCCTCGCACCCCACTCCCTCTCACCCCATGCCCACCAGTCTACTACACCTGTACCTGCACCCGGGCGGCAGCATGCGCCCCATGTTTGACGCCGCAGTGCGCCTGCTGCACTGTGCGCGCGCACACGTGGATCCCAACAGCATACTGCAGGCATGTCAGAGGTGCTTCTGCCACCTAGGCTGTCCTTGTGCCACCTAGGCTGTCCTTGTGCCACCTAGGCTGTCCTTGTGCCACCTAGGCTGTCCTTTTGCCACCTAGGCAGTGCTTGTGGCATCATGTGCACACGTTAAAGCTGGACAAGGGGGTGTGCGATCTACTTATCGATTCGCGTCACATCGCGTCTGTCCATGAGTCCATGCGCTTGTATGCGTCATCTCTCCCAGGTTCGCTCATCTTTCCCACCCCACCCACTTCTTTCACTCTCGCCCTCCCTGCACGCCCCTCCGTACGCGCCCCTGTGTGCGCGCAGGCTCTACCCAGCGACATGACAGTGCAGGAGGCCGAGGGCATTCTGGCGCGCCTCATGCGCGAGAGAGTGCACAGGCTGCGACAGGGGCAGGTGGGACTCAGGGCAGGTGGGACTCAGGGCAGGTGGGACTCAGGGCAGGTGGGAGTGAAAGATACGAGGAGGAGGAGCCATGATGTGGTAGTGCGCAAGGTTGGGAGCTTCATGTTCAGAGGTGTTGCTGTACTAACCAGGTTAGGGCCTGTCATGAAGAAGAGCAGCTGTAAGAAAGGGAGGCTTAAGACATCCTTTCTTACTGCTGCTCTTCTTCATGACAAGCGCTGACCAATGTTCAGAGGTGTTCAGCGGGCCGCCTTCCATCCATGTCAGCAGGTTCGTGATTGTCTTTCTCTCCACCCACTGCCCAATGTCCCTCAATCATGACATGCTTTCTTTCTCCCGTTCTCGCATTGCACGAATGCCTGTTCCCCCCTCCCATGCATGTCCGTTCCTTCCCATGCACACCCATGCCCACCCTCTCAGGTGGTGCACCATCCGCTCAAAGCTCAGCCTCGCATGACTTTTGATGCATGCATGTCCTTTCCATCCCATGCACACCCATACCCGCCGCCCTCTCGGGTGGTGCACCATCTGCTCAAAGCGCAGAACCGCAGCCTACTGGGACGTTGCATGACTTGACTCAAAAAGTCAGCCCCGTGCATGCATGTCCATTCCCCCCACCCATGCCCGACTCCTCAGGTGGTACATCATCTGCTCAAGGCTCAGAACCGCTTCCTTCTTGAGCGCCGCGTGGAGCTTCCCTCCCGACTTGAGTCCCTCACATTACACGCATGCCTGTTCCCCCATGCCCGCCCCTCTCAGGTGGTGCACCATCTGCTGAAAGCTCAGAACCGCAGCCTACTGGAGCGCCGCATGGACCTACTCTCCCGCTCCGTGCTGCTGCCGCTGCCACCCCACGCCATCATGCCCCCCTCCTCTTCCTCGTCTGCACTATCATCGGCATCAGCGGTGCATGGAGGAGGGCATGCGGGCACGAGTGTGTCGGCCACACGCTGCTCGGCGTGCCACAACCGCCTGTGCATTGACGAGCCCTTTGCTGCCATGCCCTCTGGTGCACTGCTCTGCCACCAGGTCAGTGTGCCGCCCACTTACTGTTACGCTCTGCCACCAGGTCAGTGTGCCGCCCACTTACTTTTCTGTCTCACACGCTCTCGGCTCCATCTGTGTGAGCACCCTCAGTAACAACTTCCATAGCCTTTTTTCTTGGTGTCTAATAACAAGCTTGGGCCTCCTGCTTTCTCACAGCATCCATTTTGCCTGCTGCTGTTCTTACCTGCAGTGTTACACCCACAACGCCTCAGCTTCCAATCAAGGATGGTAGTCGCTTGGAGATTATTCCAGAAAAGGCTGCCTATTTGTGAAGGCAGATTCAGGAAAGGATAATCTTGGGTACTGTCTGTAACATATATGGTCAATATGGAAGATCAACGCGCCTCTTTTATAAAGGTTCACAGTGATAGTGGTATCGAGTCAACAACAATGCATGGGTTGTACGGTAATCAATAACCAAAGTGCAACATACAGAGATAGTGCACCTTGTTCTAAACCTCACAACGGAACTTCTGCTGCCGTCCGTGCGTGATAGGATAAGGATAGGATTGCAGTACTGGTACGGTACATGTTCAGGTCCATCGTGACACCGTCCACGCGTAGTAAAGGAGGGATCATTCATCCTGACCTGATTATGGTACGGTACATCCTGTGGCACCATACATCCTGACATTGATGTGAACCGTTTCTTCCTGCCCACTACCACAGCAGTACGGTACGGGTACTGCAACGTATGGATCTACGGTATATACATACATGCCATAACTGTACATCATTTTTTTGCCTTCCCTTTTCCATCCAGCACTGGCCTTGCAAAGAAATCCTCAATCTTCCGGTTCCCACTACCGTGCCCTTTCCTGCTCCCACTACTACCACCACCACCACCCGCAGCACCACCACTACCACTAGCACCAACACCAGTGGCAGCACCACCAGAGGCAGCAGCACTACATTCTCCTGCCTTGTCCGCTCGTGTGCGCTTGCCACGCCCTGCTTTCCCCTGCCCACTGTCCTCTGGCCCTGCAACCTTTATGAACGTGCCCCCACATGTGCGCGCATGCCTGCACGCAAGTGAGCATGTGGGGGGAGGCTGAAAGGAGAGGGTTTGTGGAAGGAGTAAAGAAGCAGTTAGCAGTTACCAGGAATGTGGCATGGCATCAACAGAGGCACAGGCGCGTGATCCCCTGAGATACTGGCTGGGGCTCTGGATGAGACACGCGAAGATGAGAAGAACAACTCTTGAGGAATCGCCTAAGTCGACTTCCGAAGCGCCTCACAGGGGCATGAGTCCCTGGTATAATACTGGCTGAAGCTGTGGATTGGCACAGCCAGGGGTGCATGAGAAGAAGCAGAGGACGGAAATGGGAAGGAGGTGAGCACAGTGAATGGGGAAGGGTAGATGCGACGTGATGAGAGGAGGACAAAGACGTGGAAGAAAGGGACCAAATGCGGCGACTTATGGTTCGACTCAAAAGTCACGTGGTACAGAGGTACGAACGCAAACAACCGCCGTCCTTGCATCTCGCCCATCCCTCGATAGCTCACACTCCTCTTTTCCTTAAGCGACCTACCTCTCTGCCTGCCACCAACCCCTCTCCACACCTCGCAACAGCCTCACAGCAGACTTGCTCTTTTGACCGGACCGGACTCCCACAAGTCACCAGTACCCCTCACACACGCCCCAAAGCAGCAGCAGGCAGCAGGCTTACTTACAGGTGCCAGTTACACCGCGGGTGCCGACACGTGGCAATGCGCCTCTGCCTCTCCCTCTCTTTCTCATCTGCCGTCATCGTACCCCCATGGCCACCCTGCCCTCTCCTCCCTTGCCCACTTCCCCCCTGCCCGCTTCCTCCCCTCCCCTCTGTGGTGTACGGCTGTCTGAGTGCCATGCAGTCAGCTACTGAGGGAGGCCGGTTCATGGCGCGCCGCACCTCCTCCTGACACCTGGCGCACTGCCATTGGATGGGATGAGGTGAACGGTGGAGGGGAGACGTGTTGCGGGAGTGAAGTGGATCGTGGACAGACAGTTGCAGGGGGCACACAGGGACGGAGGGCGTGATGGGTTGAGGTAGGGCTGCGACGGTGCGGAAATGGGGACTGAGGGAAAGGTCGTACGCATTCCTCTCCACAGCTACTGAGGGAAAGGTCGTACGCATCCAAGGGGAGCAGGAACAGCGGACAGGCTTAACAGTATAAGAGGGAAAAGCATGTCTGCATCCCTCTCCACCGATGGACAACAGAACACACATCACGCAACCGTGCCTGTGACAGCACAGCCCATCCTTCGCACTCCCTGCAACCACCACTCCCTGCAACCACCACTCCCTGCAACCACCACTCCCTGCAACCACCACTCCCTGCAACCACCACTCCCTGCAACCACCACTCCCTGCAACCACCACCGCCACCGCCACCGCCACCGCCACCGCCACCGCCACCGCCACCGCCACCGCCACCGCCACCGCCACCGCCACCGCCACCGCCACCGCCACCACAGCCGCACCAACATCGCAGCACCACCAACACAGCACATGTCAACATACCATCCCCTCTCTCCTCTCTCCTCCGGTCTCACTCACCCCTACCCCCACTCCAGCATCCCCCCACAACCTTCTACAACCCCCGAAACCAACCACGGCACCTTCTCTACCCAGAAGAGCACCTGCCATGCGTGGCGCCTGTGCACGTTGACTTCATCCTTAAACGAGTGGTAGATGGATATCTGGTACCCACCAGGCGGGCGCTGGGATGCACAGTATGGAGCGAGGGAACCAACAGCAGAGGAAGGGGGTGGGAAGAGGAGAGACACGTGACGGCCCTTCTTTGGTTGTACGCGGGTGGCGGGCGTGGGGGAGCGAGGCGGCGGATATGAGGGGTGCATAAGGTTGGGATCAGGCGCGCAGAAGCAGCTTTGCAATGAGACGCAAGAGGACGAAGCTTCTGCAGATTAGTGGCCCATCCAAGCGAGCCTGAAACCCACCAGCTTGCCTTGTTACAGCTGGGAAACGCTATCACTTGCATTGCACCACACGCATGCACGCACGCACGCGCATGCGCACAGACACAAGAAGATCCTATGTGGCACCTGATGGTCGTGCAGAGTGCTGGAGTTTATGGTCCCCATGATGCCCTGAAACATGGGGCCGTGATCCCTGGCATTGGTGTTGGTGTGCGTGAACACAAACAGAGGCGCAGGGGCGTGTGTGTGAGAGAGGGCGAGCAGAAGGGAGCATTGATCGATGAGGTGCACACAGACACTCGGAGCGGGTGAGGTGGAGTGAGAAGACGATGCTCACATTGCAGAGAGCATTGCACGGAAGGGAACATTGCACAGAGCGTGCTCACAATCACTGCCTGGTGCCGCTCCAACAAGTGACACGCACCGCCCTGCCTGCCACCCCACTACTCGCCCTCCACACCACACCCCACCATCCCCAACCTCCCACCCTCTTCCTCCCACGGCTCACTCTCTGGAGTGAGTGGGGCCGCGGCAGAGAGGAAGATAAAGGCGTTGATCATCTCGCCTCCCAAACGACAATCTCGAGCCATCCCACACCTTGCCTTCTCTCGCCCCCAATTCCGAACCCCTCATCCTACCCCCCTTCCCACCACCTTCCCCCACATCCCTCCCCCCTCCTCCTCATTGGCTCACTCTCGGGAGTGCGAGGGGCGGCAGAGAAAGATGAAGGCGTGGATCATCTCGTGCAGCAGCGTGGCTTTAAGGTCCGACACGGGGCGGTACTGCAGCAGCGGGGCCGACAGCCGGATGCGACACAGCGCCCCGTCGTACATGCACACACCCGCGCAGCTGCGCAGTAGGGTGGAGAGGGGATGGCGGGGAGTGGAGGAGGGGAGGGAGTGGTGGGTGGATGTGCCACGAGGGGAGTGGTGGGAGTGGTGCATGGGCAGGGGGTTGTGGCGGAGGTGGCGAAGGGGGGCGGGGCCAGGAGTTGTTGAGGAGAGAGATGGATGGGGGAGCGGGTAGCAGAGGCCGCAGTGGGTAGGGGAGGAGGATGGGAACACAGAGAGCCACAGAGAGTCGTCAAGAATCTGCATGCCTGCAGAGGTAGAAGAGGGAAGGGGAATCTCAGAGGAGAGGCGTGCGGTGAGGAGAGGCGTGCGGTGAGGAGAGGCGTGCGGTGAGGAGAGGCGTGCGGTGAGGAGAGGCGTGCGGTGAGGAGAGGCGTGCGGTGAGGAGAGGCGTGCGGTGAGGAGAGGCGTGTGGTGAGGGAAGGCGTGTGGTGAGGAGAGGCGTGTGGTGAGGGAAGGCGTGCGGTGAGGAGAGGCGTGTGGTGAGGGAAGGCGTGTGGTGAGGAGAGGTAGGTAAGTAGCAGGGTTGAGGCACCAGACGTCCCTTGTACTGGCCAAACGGATATCTTTGCAGGTGAGAATCTCAGGAGAACTGAATATCTCCGAGATAAAAACACAACACAATATCCCGACTACCCACGCTGCCTGCTGCTCCTCGCACCCTCACCCACCCACCCCTTCCTCTCACACCCCCACCCACACACCACCTACCCACCCAGCCTCAAATCTCGCCCACATCACGCACCCTCACTGCCTGCCACAGCATCCCCCTTACAGCGTCATTCGTTTGGAGCTCCACTCGACGAGGCAGGCCCCGAGGCGGCCGTGGAAGTAGAGGTCATTGTAGTGGCGGAAGAGTGCCGTTATATCCGGACACGGGTCCAGCAGGTCCAGGTCGGGCGGCGGGGGAGGTGCGGGCAGTGGCACTGCGGACGGAGGGGGATGGGAACGACGGGGAATACTGAGCCGACTCAAAGGTCGTTGTAGTGGCGGAAGAGTGCCGTTATATCCGGACACGGGTCCAGCAGGTCGGGGTCGGGCGGCGGCGGGGGAGCTGCAGGGAGTGGCACTGCGGAAGCGGATGGGAACGCTGGGAGGGGATAATTGAGCCGACTCAAAGGTCGTTGTAGTGGCGGAAGAGCGCTGCTATATCCGGACACGGGTCCAGCAGGCAGGCAGCAGGTCGGGGTCAGGCGGCGGCGGGACAGCAGGCAGTGGCACTGCGGGAGTGGGGAGTGGGGGGGTGTCGGAGGGAAGCTCAGGGGAAAGTGCGGGGGAAGGGCGCGGGGAAGGGCACGGGGAAGGTGGGGGGTGGGTGTTGGGGGTTGTAGAGGAAGGGATGGAGTGGAGGTATGTGCAGCGATGATGGGGAGTGACTGCAGCTATCACAGGGCGTTGGTTGACATTATTCGCCATAACCCCGCCCCACTCCGCCTTAACCATACCAACGACCCCCTCCGCCTTACGCGACCAGCCTTCGTCCTCCTCCGCCTCCTCCGCCGCGTCGTCATCGATCGTTATCACGTCTCGCGACTCCCGCGGGTTCCGCTCCCAGCGCCGCTCCGCCTCTCCGCCCCGCCCGCGCAGCTCCGCCGCAGTCGACGTTTCCGCCCCGCCTCTGCTTCTACCGCCGGAGGCGAATCCCGTAATGCTCCTATCTTTCCTGGGCTCTTGCGCGATATCCCCCGCGCATCCTCTCTCCGCCGAGGACGTTGGTCGGCTAGGGTTCTCGAGAGCAAGACGAATCCCGGGATCAGATTCTGCGAGCGAGAGGGCGATCGCAAGAGCGAGGTCGTCGTGAGAGAAGCCGTCGCCCGCCATGCCGCGCGAAGCAGCGCGACTGCACGCTTCAGCTCTGTTCTGCTGGAGAGGTTGGAAACATGAAAGGAATGACTGACACTCTCGCTTCAGGTTTCGGATTTCTTTAGGCGTATGGTCTGACCGCCCGCCCCTTTTGTGTACGAGTCGGTTATTGTGGAGAGTCGATTTTGCTTGTTTCCTAATTCTGCTGCATATAAATTTGTCTCTGAGTCCAAGAAACAAAATTGCAGGGCAAGTTTCAAGAATAATCCCCTCTTGGATAGCAAGCTATAAAAAATGCATCAACCGTAAACACCATATCATAAGAAGGGTTCTAATTGCTGTACAAATACAAATTTAAACAACAATTTACCTGCTTTGTACTTATAATCGGGTGACTACAGTACAGTAGGCAAAACGCGAGGCAGAAAAGTGGGCAGACCTGAAGAATTAAGATCTTGCCAGGCGGCACGCCTGCAACAGCCAGGTGTGATGAGCTGCACTGTAAAATAACTCCACCTAAGCCACACCAACAAGTAAACGAAAAAGCGCCTTAGTTGAAAGCCACCAGGCAGCTCGTATAATGATTATATTACATGCCCAATGCACAGCCTACAACACCATGCCATCATGTCATCATGCCGTCATGAATGACCGGCTAAGCCTGCGCAGAGTGGCACCTGCCTAAGGAGCAAGGGAGAAAGCAACAAAACAACACAACCTTCTGCACACGCACACAAGTGAAACTGCCCACCCCCATGGCCCTAAAAAACCCTGAAACCAGGCCGAATGCCGCCTGTAGAGGGACTCGTCGCCCGAGCCTTCCCAGTAGCAGCAGCAGCAGCCGCAGCAGCAGCACCTATGGCTGCAACAGCAGGCCGAGGGGAGAAATGAGGCGAGAGAGGGTTATCAGAGGATGAACGATGGCCAGAGTCCACTGCATCATTGCCTGTTTCCAAGAGCGGAAGGTTCAGACGCGTGCTTTCCGCCCTTGCCGGCGCTCCCTCTCTCGGCCCTCTGTGCACGCTTATTACCGAATACTGCCCAAGCCCAGCATACACAGGTCCTGACGCCCCTCCCACACCCTGTTCCTCCGACCCAAAAGCATCACACACGGATGAGCCAGCAGCTGCCACCGCTCTTCCCCCGCTTCTGCTTTTCTCCAAGGCTGGTCTAGCCGCGCGGCACCGCTGCCTGAGCAGCATGATCTCCTCTTCCATTGTGGCAATCTTCTGCAACTGCAGCACCAGCATTCGCCACGCAGCATCATGGAGGCTCAGCTCCGGCTCTTTCCACGCCACCATGCTCGCCTTGCCCATGCCTCTTCTGCTGCTGCAGCAGGCGCTGCTGCTGCTGCTGCTTCCCATTCCCGCACCGCTGCCGCTGTTGCTGTGGGCTACTGCTATGGAGCTGCTGGGAGCGCCGCCTCTGCTGCCGGCCACACACTGACCACTAGGGGCACTGCTGATGTCGTTGTGATGACCGGCGCGGGCACTGGATTCCCAAGAGGAGTTAGGAAAACCACCAACAGCACCAGGAGGAGGAGGGGGAGGAGGAGGAGGAGGAGCAGCAGCAGCAGCAGCAGCAGCAGCAACACCTGCAGGGGCAGCAGTGGGGAGAGGGACCGGTGGCAGGGGGAAAGCGTGCCTGATCGCGCCATCTGAAGCACAAGCACGGACGGCAGCAAACACCTCGCCAGTGGCAGCAGCAGCGAAGTGGTCTAAGGTGCCATCCAGCGCTGTTGCCATGGGTCCATGCCTTATCACGGGCATGGTTCCCCGGCGAATGAGCGACCAAGTGCCACTTCCCACTCTGTTTCCAGCCCTGCCAGTGCCAACCGCACTGCGAGCAGCAGCAGAAGCAGCAGCCGCCACTGCCAATTTCGATCCCATTGCTTCCATGCTGTTCCCACTCCGACAAACGGTGGTGGCGTTGCTGTTGGTGTTGGCGTTGCTGTTGGTGTTGCTGTTGCTGTTGGTGTTGATGTTGGTGTTTGTGGTGGTGTTGGTAGTGTTGGTGATGCTGCTACTGCTGCTGCTACTATTGCCACTGCTGCTCCTGGGACGCAGGCCAAAGAGACCGCGGCGGCCATGCAGGGAGGAGTAGTTAAAGCTGCTGGCGATGCGAGAGATGAAGCGCGAGCGCACAGCAGAGGCGATCCAGCCACGCGAGACAGACGCAGCGGGCAACACCGACCCATCCACCAGCTCCACCGCTGCCCATGCTGACGCCGCCGCTGCTGCTGCCTCGTCCTCCTCGTCAATGCTGCTGTCGTCGTCAATCCCCCCATCCTCAGTAGGAGCAGCTGGAGTTGCAGAAACGAGAGCAGAGCTCTGAGGGACGTGAGACGGTGAAGACGCAGCGCCTGACACAGTAGGCTCAGTGGGAGCTCCTGAACCGAGTGGGGTAGAGGCAGATGCAGCACCTGAGAGGGCCCGGTCTTCTAGAGCAGCAGCAGGAGGAGGAAGAGGAGGAGAAGGAGGAGGGAGAGGCGGAGGAGGAGCAGCATCAGCAGCAGGGGAAGCAGTAACGAGGGAGGAGGGGGGGCGGGAGGGCGTGGCGGTCGGCGTGTCACGGGCGTGAGACGAGGAGCGCGCAGATGAGGAGCGAGTGGAAGAGGAGCGGCTGAGCGTGCGCAGACTGACTAGGAACTCCAAATCCAAGGGCCCGCTTTCCAGGTCGAACAGCTGGTGGGGAGGGTAGAGGGGAGGAGCAGGATGAGGAAGAGGAGAAGTGGAGACGTGGAGTGGGCGCGAGAGGCCATTCCGACGCGATAGCTAAGGAGCATGTACGCACACTGAGAGCGTATGGGAAGGAAGGACGGACGGACGGGTCTAGAGCAGACAAGAGCACACGAGAGCGACTCCCCTGGACGCGCCTTACCTCCTGCAGGATGCGGCCCGACGGGGTCTTCTGGTGGAAGATCGGCCGTCGGCGCTCCGTCGCCGTCCCGGAAGCTTCCTTGCCAAGCGCAGTGCTGCTGCCTGCTGCCACCCGAGGCCGCCTGCCACGCAAATCCGTCCAATCCTCAAACAGCGAGGTCCCGGCGGCTCTCCCACCAATTGCATACAACCTCTCGGGATTCTCCTCGCCGCTGCTCCCGCCGCCGGCGGAGCCGTCACGGCTGCCATCAGCCGTGATGTTGGGCGAGGGGAGATTGAGGCATGTTGACGTGGCGAACTGCCACGCAAATCCGGGTCGAGCATCCGAGGCTGCCGCCGGCTGCAGCGCAGAGGCGGCTGCTCCTAAGGACTCGTCGGCGGCGCCTTGCTTATCGCCATCCACCGAGGAAACAGCACTAGTAATAGCATTAGCGCCGCATTTGCTGGTATCGCCTGCGTGTCGCTCCGCCGCTCGTGCCGCCAGGGCCGCCGTTCCGTCAAGTGGACGGCGACACGGCAAGCGCGGCGTTGGCACGTCAGCAGACGCCGCAGCGGCGTCCATCTTCCCGTCGAAATAAACCTCGCTTTGGCGTAGTAACTCCGAGCCGCCGGTGTCATGAAATGACTGCGCGAATGCCGGCTGCACGCAGTGACCCAGCGCGCCGGCCGCCGGCGCCTTGGAGGTGGCTTCGTCTAACTCGCGTGGGTCGAGGGAGTCGAAGTAAGCCAACATCATGGGCCCGGGGAAGCGCGTCAGCGCCGCCGCCGCCGCCGCCGCGTGCGCGCCGTGCCGCATCATCATGCTTGCAGCCTCGGCGGGCTGGAATCCGCCCGACTCCGCGATCGCCGCCGCCGTCGACGGCAGGTAGGTAGTCAGCGACGACTGGCGCAACAGAGGCGCCACCGAATGCAGCCGCGCGGCCCGCGCAGCAGTGTAGCACTGGCTGGGACTTTCCTCATGCGAGTCGGCGGCGGTGGCGAAGTCGAATCCAGAAGATTCTCCCGGCGCCGTTACTCCGCCGTAACTGCCGCCGCCGCACGCAGATATATGCTGCCGCGCCGCGACATCTTGTTGTGCAGACCATGCGTCAGATATCGACGCGCTTCAGAAACGGTCGCGCGCAGCGTCAGCCGCGTCATCAAAGCGGTCAGAAGACGGTAACGGTCCATCGTCAGCCTGAGCCTGAGGGGACGGCGGGGCTGCGACTATCGCCTCAAACACGCTTCGAGTCAGAGTCTGGAAGGCAGCGCCAGCTTGCAAATCGCTGCGACGGCAGCTCGCAACCCCCGCATGCTTGTGGTCGCTGGTGCTGCTTCCGTCGAAAGCGACGCCGCATTTTCCGGAGCCTCCGGTGCTGCCTCCATGCTGGCCGGCAGACTGCACATGATCCGGCGTACAACTAGAGGCGGTTGTAGCGGCCGGCTGACTCCGTTCGGGGCTTGTCGTTCGCGCTCGTTCGAGCGGCGGCGTCGTTGATGTAAGCTCTCGAGGCGGCTGTAAAAATGCGGCCTCATTCTGCGACGCGGCGGGTGGTTCCGACTGCGGCGGTGGCGGAGGCTGCGTCTGTGGGTGCGGTCGCGACGACGGCAATATATCATGGTGGTGGTGAGGGTCGTGGTGAGGCGAATCCGCCCGGCCAGCTGGACAATCTGGCTTCTGGGATCAATTAACGCGTAAGTTTCGAGCGACGATAAGTGGCTGTTGGCGTCTAGCGATTTTCGGCTGCCCGCGTGGCGGAGCTCGTGATTCGGAAACTCCGCGAGCACGCGATCAACGGAGATTCTCTGCTCGTATAGTCGCACGCTGTTATCAGGTAATATGACGATCACTGACGACAAGTTGAGCGACGGACAGGGGGAGAGCGAGGGCGACGCTGCGCCGAACGATTGCTGCAGCGCGGGAGAGCGACAGGAGAAGGAGGAGGGGGAGGAGAGGAGAGACGAAGTCGTAGATGACTTCTCACACGTCGCCATGGCCATTGTGCGTACACTGTACGGGGGTTTACGACGACGACCTGAACTACACGTACAGTTCAAGTTTTCGGGTCCGCGGCGTTTCGAATGGGTAATCTGGTGAGCGGTCAAGTGAGCTCCCCGTGACCACCAAACCAACCAAACTCTGCTCGGCCATTTTCAGGTGCATGCAACTTAGCCTAGGAACTCTATTCAGGTGCATGCCAGGTTGCGTACACTTTTCTCAGGTTAAAAAATGTCTCCCGTTAATTCACACGCTTTTAAAGATTTGATTCGAATTGACACAAAAGGTCTGAAATAGATGCAATTTCGGGCTACGCAAATCGGAATTGGAATGGTTGGCTCTCGATGCTGCATTTTCTGACGTCACTGAGTGCAATGATTGCATTTTGTCCAATTTATACGCAAATTTCTGCTACGCACCAACTCTTTTTGAACGAATCTAATGCTAGATCTGTTGTACTTTTGACGCAGATGACGGACGCTGCGCATGGCAAATCAGCAAACCCTTCGTAAGTGTTAGTAAATTTTGGCTCTACCAAAATTAATGTTTTGCCGTACATGTACATTGAAATAGGTGGAAAGCCATGACGTTAATTACGGGTCAGTTAATATGCATATAACGTACGATATATCCTTAATAGCGGTAGGGGTACCTCTCTCTAACACTCGGTAATATTTTTCGTGTTTCGGATTACCCTTTCCAAGTAATGCACGAAGCGTCCGCCACCTGCGCCAACAGTACAAACCCTAATTAAGCATTACTATTCGTTCAAAAAGAGTTGGCGCGAAGCAAAAATTTGCGTAGGAATTGGGCAGATATGCAATCATTCACGGAGTGACGTCAGAAAATGCAGCATCGAGAGCCAACCATTCCGATTCCGATTTGTGTAGCCCGAAATCGAATATATTTCAAACCTTTTGTGCCAATTCGAATCGTATCTTGGAAAGCGTGTGATTTTACGGGAGACATTATTTAACCTGAGAAAACTGTATGCACCTGAATAGCGGTTCTAGGCTAAGTTGCATGCACCTGAAAAAGGCCGAACTCTGCTCCTAGTGGGATATGGGCCTAAGAAATTGTAGGCGGGTGGTGAAATTGGGGCAAATATAAAAAAGGGGCCGAACATTAGCCAAAAAGTGACCAAATTAGGGCCGGGTCAATCCCAACTGTTGGATATATCCCCAAAGCTGCCCAGGTGGCTGGGCCTTGGTTCCGAACCGAAAATTACAAGAAATTACTAAATCTTGACTGTTTTGGTTCATTGCTTTGTTTTATTTTCAAAATCGCCGCCTATTACAGAAGCTCGCGTCGAATTTCTCTGGGGGTGCTTTCGTCGTGAATATTAAAAATTTATGTTATTAGTACATGATTTTTTACCGAAATTTTTGAATCACTTTACCTGATAGAAAAATACCCCAATCGGAAATGGATGCGACTCAGGGAGGCATCAACCCTAAACTCCAGTGAGGTTTCCGTGTTTAAGGTTGATCCCTCCCGAAAATGCATCCAGGTTCCCTAGGGGGTTTAGTTTTCCTGCCCTGCCCTAAAGGTTCCCGGTTGCGTCGTCTAGTGCTTGGTAGCGCAAAATACTGAGTTATTTTGACAGAAGTCGTAAAATTTACTCTCCGTCAGTTACGACGCGCGGTGCGGTGAGAATCTCTGACAAGTGAAATCACATACGCGAGCATGGAGAAGTCCGTTGTTAGCTCGAAAAAAATCAGGTTCGGCTATCCGGCCCTAATTTGGACACTTCTCTGCTAATGTTCGGCCCCAACATGATCTTCTCTTGTGAAATTGTGCTTACAGGATCAAGAGTGACTGATCTGGTTTGGGAAAAGGGGCCTCTTTGCTACACGAGCCAGCTGATACAGCTGATGCTCACCCCATGCACGCGAATTTGCCTTGCGCCGGATGGATACGCTGCACCCGAGGTCGTTTCCCCAGCCTTATGCACCTACATTACAAGCGCGTCGCGTGGTTATCAACCAATAGTAACGAACAGACCAAAGTCAAACTAGGTACAGACCGAAGTCAAGCAGAAGAGACTGAAGTCAAACTAGGTTACAGATCTTGTTTATAAGCACATGCGAATCCTTTTTAGCTAGCTGCGAATTGACGAAACTTATGCGAAATGCTCGTGACAGCTTATACGCCCCCTTCGTAAGGCAACCGGGAGGGGCTCAAACAGGCATCAGGTATACAGAACATGTGATCTGCCTTGATAGGCCCAAAGCCTTCACACATAGAACACCTTGGTAGGGCCATGTTTTAAAAAACAATTTTACTTCGTGTGATTAAAATATGAGGAAGCAAGCGTTTATTCTGAATGGGTTCCGGGTATGTCAGAAGGTCGGGAAGGGATGAAATAATCGAGCGACGCGACGACAAATTTTGCTCAATCCTGTCGACTATCCTCTCACCGTGCTACCCGATTTTTCATATTTCTAAACCTCATGGACATCTACAAACGCTTTTGCAATTATGGCATAAACAATCTTGACACAGTTTGTATTGAATTTTTTGGATGACACATTCTTCGGCTAGCTATGGTTTACCCTGAATACGCAATAACCTTTACGCTATTTATTTTTTTAGGTTACAGGGCTATCTAAGGCGTTATATGAATCAAATGTAACATATTCGATATTAGTTTCCAGTAATTATTAGGAAATGAAAAAACATTGAACTTAATAATATACTACCTGAACCTTCCATGAGATTTAATCAAAGATAACTCTATTTTTCCCAAAATAATTTTGCAAAATTGCATTTTTTAGGCAAAACTCAAAACCTCTTTGAACATGCGTATGGATTTGTGGTTTGGAAAATACCTTTTTTTGCTATATTTGAAAGTTATAGTTCATGCTATATTATTGTCTAGTCTGATGCAAGAGTCTAGTTGTCTCATCATAGTTGGTCCTAATGTACACTATAATTGTCTCTACAATTTTTTTTATTATTTACTTTTAATTATTCCAGCCCTGAAATATCTACGCGTCACATCAGTACAGCCACTGTGTATCATAAATGTAACTGCGCAAAATGACAACTCGTACTAAGGGGTTGCAATTATTGCACATGGATAGCGTCAGATTTGTTCTCACCCAAAGGCAAGAAATCAAAGGGATCCGAAACTGTTCCAACTAAAAAATGCAGAGTGACCAGACCGTGAGTGCGGGTGTAGAGCTATATACACTCCATGAGATTGAGAAATATGAAAAAAGAGGGAGCGTGGTGCGAGGCTAGTCGACAGGATTGATAACATTTTGAGAGTCGTCGCGTCGCGCAAATATTTCGGAAGGTATGCAGTTGTAGACTGAAAGAATCCTGTGTGGAACAAAAGGAACCATGAGCCATGTTTGGAAGTTCCAACGGGATTATCACGCACGAGATATTTGAGAAAAAACCCCAAGTCATTTTCAAAATCTATTACTAAGTGATGAAATATTTTTTGACCTTGGCAAGGAAGAAGGTTTGTCTGATTTAACATGGCCAATGTTATTACAGTACCACCTTGTCAAAATCAGGGCAGCTGTATTTGAACCTAGGTTTGTGGTCAACACAGAACGACTGCCTCAGAGTAATGACAGTTTTCTTGCGCTTGTGGGAGAAGTGCACACGCCAAGTTACGAATGGGACAGATGACACAGTCGCACGCACCGAATGCCGCAACTATTTAAAATCGAAGTTGTTGGAGCTTGGAACGTGGAAGAAGACCTTTCAAATTTTGAACTGCCAACCATGTTTCCTGCCCTGCCCATTGTTGTATAACAGCTTATGATATATACCCCCCAAAACGGAGCGTCTTAGATGAAGCCTAGATCCCTCGGTGTCTCAATCGCAGCAATCTCTCGAGCGGTTTCTTAAAAAAATAAACAGCAATTTCGTGTTAGGTAGGAAAAGGCAAACTTCGAATTGGTTCGATTCGACACAGCAACCGTTACCACGGTGCATGAGGGAAGGGAGGAAATTGATATGGAAGGGATGCCCAAAACGCCATCATTTGCAACAATTTAGTTCCTGGCGGATTTCCACACTTGTTTATCCTCGTGACAGTTGTGTCACAAAGTCGTTACTGCTCTTGTAGTAATCTAGTCTCGTCACATTGGTTACTGTACTACTACAACCTGGACGTGGTGCAGGTCGGCTCGATCGAGGCCAACAGAGATATACCTTATTGTATGTGCTGGGGACCCTGCCCGACCCGAGTGACCCTGTCACTAAATGTGGTCAGGCGCCCCTACATCATAACACAAGGTGTTTTCTTGACTATGAAGGAACTGGCAGTGTGGAACTTAAACCAACAGTACTTCCAATACGTGATATATCCCCCTCAAAACTACGAAATTGGCCAACGAGGGTGAGAAGTACCCTCAAAGGAGGGGAAGTGGGGTATATACTAACGTCTTTTGTATACTGCCAATCACCTTACCCACAGTGACGGGGAATGTAGGCTGAGGTAGATTGCCCTACTACTGTGTCCTTGCCGTGGTGGGCAAACGAGGCAGGACGCGTGATGGTCCCGTGGTGAAAGTGCACTGCACACCCAGGCCAACTGAACCGAACCTATACACCTAGCCCGCGCGAACTTTTTTCTTCCAGGCACCCTTTGTGTGTTTTCGGGTATTTCGAAGGGCACCCAAAGACTCCGAGGCTAACAGTACGCAGCTAGGATGAATTTCAGTCTCATAAACTGGCACTTAGTGACCCGAGATTAGGGCGGGATTGGCATTTACAGAGTTTCTACTCTCCGTCATCTGGCGAAGGGAATGCATCACTCTACCTTCTTCAAATACGAAACTACCTTCATAAACTAACTAAACCGCGGGAAAGTACACCCGGGTGGTGAAGATATCGCCAGTGAATTTACCGCGGACTAGGTGTACACCACGTTCGCCACGGCAGAAATAGGGACGGTAGGTTGCCGGCAGTAGCACTTCCTGAACGCCTGACGAAGAAGCGGAAAACGGTAATTTTTAGGTAAGTGATACACACACACACA